AGTCTGCCTCCTCTCATTACCATTGTTCCGTTTTTATCATAGTTCCCTTTGAGAAAGTTTGCATCGTACCAGGTTGTAGCCCTTTGAGCAGTATCCTGTAGTTTTGTTTGTATAGTGTAATTAAAATAATCCTGTTATTATTATTATTATTATTATTATTATTATTATTATTATTATTGAAAAGAGTATGGAGAATATGCATACTAATGCAACGGTGTGAAGGGTTAAAATTCCTCAATTTCCTCTTAGGTCACGTTCAATGACCAGAAAAACTGGGACCGAGATTTTGTTTAGCCTCGTTATGAGGCTACAGCATTTTCCAAGAATCAACGGGCGGAAGTAATAATGTTGTTCTTAAGCTTTCAAGGAAACTATCTACAGTTTTAAGCAGTTGTCGATCAACACTCAGGCCCTGAATACAAACCCGTTTGTTAGAATTCGTTGTATATGCACCATAAAAATGCAACAAGAAAGCAAAGCAGTTCAAGAACAAGAACAAGACTTTTCAGAGCCGTGGGAACAGAGTGATGTTGTTCTGCTAGTAGAAGGGCAGAAAATCCATGTGCATCGTCTGATGCTGTCAATGTGTTCACCTGTTTTCTCCCGAATGTTCTCCGCAGATTTTAAAGAAAAAGATGCCGATGAGATTCCGCTACCTGACAAGAAAGCTGCTGAAATAAGAGAGATTTTGTTAACAGTTTATCCGAGTTTCTGCAAACGTGTGACAGACAAAAACTTAGATTTCTTGTTGCCTCTTGCTCGAGAATACCAAATGATGGCTGTAACGCAAAGATGTGAAGATTATCTGTTGTGGGAATTGGAAAAAAAGTACGAAATCGACTCCATTATGGAAACCCTAATCGTTGCCCAGAATTTCTCCTTGGAAAGAGTGAAAACTGAGTGCATTAGGAAGACGCAAGATTTATCCATTCAGGATTTGAAGAGCCACGAGTTGTATGATCAAATCGAGCCTCTCTCTAAGAATCGAATGGTTGAATTGCAAATAGGTAACATGGAGAAAAAGCTCAGTGATGGTCAAGCAGAGCTAGAGAAATCCAATGCAGAGATTTTAAAATTGCAAGGCAAGATAAAACAGATGAAAATATACGCTTCTGAAGGTTTGCAGTCCTTCGGACCAATCGCTTCCATCCTTGGAGGTCACATCCGGCACGCCATGCAAATGAATTCGAAATTTCAGGACTTTGCAATGACTACGGAGCAGCATTTGAAAACCATTCAGAACGACAGTTCAGCTCGCGGTAGATTCAACGACCGCAACAAAGTGTGTTTGCCGTTAAATGATGTATTCAATCCTCTGGCAGATCTTCAACGTAGGCTTATTTCAATTGCCAAGACGGTGTAAAACTAGATGCTGAGAAAAAGATCTTTGTTTAAATCATCTTGTTATTGCATGGAGTAATAGTCGTATTTGTGTGTTTCTGTTACTCTGAGTAACCTACCTTGCATTTCCAATTGGCAGTTTTATTTTTAAAGATGCAACTGTAGTTACCAATTGCAGTATAATTTTAGAGGCTCAGAGTAACATTTCTAAATTATCTCATATCAAACTGAAACTTTTAAATAGAATTTAATCTTTTCTTAGCCCTGCTATCTTATTGAAGATTTACAAAATGACAATTTTACCTATTTTAGACTATAGCTATGGGGTTTTTGCCGCAAGTACTCCGATTTTCTGGAAAGGTTGCAAAACAAAGCAATGCGAATAATTTTAAGAACAAATCACTTACCGCACACAGTCAATGAAGAAGAGTATTTTTAGGCACTGATCATACCAGCGTTTTTTATGTTGAATTCGCTGATCGGTTTTTTCAGTTTAAATAAACCATTTAGTATCATTATTATTATTATTATTATTATTATTATTATTATTATTATTATTATTATTATTATTATTATTAAGATGAAATAAACAATTTTTAATAAGAGAAAAATCGAGTTTCCAATCGAGTTTGGTAACTCGATTTTTCTCTTATTATTATTATTATTATTATTATTATTATTATTATTATTATTATTATTATTTTTTTTTTTTTTTTTTTTTTTTTTTTTTTTTTTAATAGGTGCTTCTTGCCATGCCAAACAACCTAATGGCATTTTCAGTTGGCAGTTTTGAGCAGATCCAGTATTATCATAGATATATTGGCTCAAGTTCTAGATTGCAGTATCATGTTTTATGTTCTTTTCATTGGTGACAAGTGTAAATGCAAACAATACCCTGGATGGTATTATGCTGCTTTTTCAACTGGTACTCCACACACAAGGAAACGATTGAGCTGCTTTTTGGACATGCTCTGAAAGTAGGAATACTCATTAATGCTAAAAATGTGTACTATCAGAAACACCCTGTGCTCAGGGGAACCTGAAAAACTATAAATACTTACAAATTTAGGAGGCTCTTTAAGCCATCCTCTGGTTTTGCGAGTGACAGTTTCTAGGGGTACTACAGCCCTTTGGAAGAACAACCTCCTCCCTCATACTGTTCATTATAATTCCATGAGCATAGTTGGGAAATTTTTCTGAAGTGGTTATGCACTAGTGGTCAATCCAGGTGAGAGTTCCCCTCCTTCAACTCCTTACTACTAGTCTGAAATCCAAATTCTTCTCACAAAAGACTCGCACATTACTAAAATTAACCTGAATTATATAATAGACCAGTTTTTATTTATCCCCTGTGGTTGGGGGATTTTTGGGGGGGTCACATGGTTTGTAGGGGGGAATGGAGGGGGATCAGCTATCACCAACAGAGTATAAAGGAGGGAACTATAGAAAATGGACTGGGATCATAAGCCTAAACCTTTTGGGGGATGAGGTAAATTTTGTAGAGACACAACTAAAATCCTACAGCCTCCTCCACTCCCTCCCCCCTCCTCAAGCAATAAATGATAAACAGTCCAAAAAACCTAAAATGTACTTATCTTTGAATATTTTAAACTTATTCAGGCTCTAAAGTAAAAAAAAAGTGTTTTTAATCAAAGTTTGGATCCTTTCCCTATCAGAAATACATGGATCTGCTTCCTGTATACCTCTCATCAGCAATGGCTACTCTGAACCTTTCACTGACATGTCACTCAACAGTCGAGCTGTGAGTTGAACTTTGATTGAAAAGTTGACATTTGAGTTTCTATCAGCATGTTGAGAATATAAAATAATTATGTATTTGCAAATCTCTGATCGATAAGAAAGACATTAATATCCGCCATCTATTATTAGTAAACTATTTTAAAAATACTATAACTAAATGGGGATCTTTTTAAAAAGCTCAGCAGAGCTTGCTAGATCTCCTGCCGTATCTTGATTATCATGTAGTATGTATTATGCGAGGTAAGGAACTATTGAAGGTGAATAAAGAAAGAGAATATACATTTATAACCTTTTAACCCTTTAACATCTAAGAGTGATTAGTATCTAATTTCTACTTACAATATCACCCACCCCTGAATCAAACATGAGGTAACAAGAACAAAGGAAATGATCACCAACTAAACAAGCTCTTGATTTTTAAACAAATTCTCCTTGTCAGTGCCTAAGGAAATGTATAAAGAGCAGTATGGAGAATATCCATACTGATATGAGGATGTAAAAAGCTAAGGGCATGCATTGTAAGTTTTAGAAGATCACTAAGAAAATGAACTCATTCAGGAGGTCAAGGGCCTTGATTGGAGGCAGTCATGACTTGGGTCATCCTGCTATCACAATGTAACAAATCAAAATGTATTAAATGTTGAGAAAAAGCTCTTAGTAGCAGATCAACAGAGAATAAATTTCAATTTTTTTATAAATTTCTCGACATTCAAATCAGCAGATACTCTAGAGCATTCAGCAAGTCGTAATAACGTACTCAGTCATTGTTGAAAACAATATTTCCTGATCAGCTGATGTCAATTTGCAGAGAGAAATGATACTCAACTGACCAAAAAATTCATTTCCATCACGTGATGAATGATATGCTTTTGATTCTTCACAAAAGAAAGCTAGTTAGAGACTGGTCATTTATCAGAGAAGGGAGGGTAGGCTGGTGCAAATGGGGTGGGTGGTCATACCTTTTAGTGCACCTGAAAATGGGGGGCTGCATAAAATTGTGCAACCCTTTCAGAGGGGCCATGTATTTTTGTGCATTCCAATTTCCATTCCACAAAAAAGAAACAACACTGAAGAAATCAACAAGTCAAATATAATTCCTTATCAGAATGATGGCATAACAAACCCACATAACATAGTGTATAGCAGTCCTTTCTCATTGGAAAAAACTTCATGTATTACTCAGTATCACTGTCCTCTAATTCACTGTTTGAAGAGCTGATAGAGGGCAAGTACTCTTTAATTAGTGCACAAGCTTGATCACTTATAAGCCCTCTTTCAATCATTTGCTTTAGCCAGTAAACTTTTGTCCCTTTTAAGGATATTTGAGCAGCCACATTGACTTCCTTAACTGGAATCTCACCCTCAGACAGTAGTTTGGAGATTAAACCAAAATTCTCTTCTTCTCGTCCAGCTTTTCTCTTCTGTGCCTTTCTCTTATTTTTCAGTGAGTTTTATTTAAGTTGTAATAAAACTGTTTCTGTGACTGAGGGCGGGTCATCTTATTTCATGTACAGACTCGAAGAGGAGCCACAACATGGTATGCAGTGGCAAGAACAGGCCACCCCCCCCCCCTCTAATAAATGACCGGTCCCTTGCAACCATTTTGATGAATAGAGGTGCTACCAAAGTAAAACTAATGCATGAAACTTCTCCGCCGTTCCCTCAAATTCTCTGAATCCAGTTTCTCATTTCTCTCACAAAAATCCATCAGAACACTGTAATTAAGAGCGACACGTACAGTCGTAGCATTTTTTGTCGGCTTCCGACTCCTTGAAGTCTCTGCATGCAAGTCACAAACATAAACTCTTTGATAAAAGCGGGGAAGTTAGGTCTCTCTATACCCCTATACTTATTTAACTTCTTACCTCCCAAAATTTTCGCTTTTTATCCACTGAACCACTAATTAAATGCTGTTTCATTCTCACAGGTTGAATGGATGGTCACCTTGTTGCAAATTGTGGCACTTGGCGTCCAGCACGAAAATGGCGGGAATTTCTTACCTGAACCTAGACCCTTACCAGGCGCGAGATCATGGTAACAAGGTGGGTAAAAATAAGTTTACAAGAAGTATCTATCCTTCATCAGCTTTTCTCTTAACTTCATACAAAAAGATCGGAAAATTCAACAGTGCTACGGTGCTTCGCTGTTCACTGACCTTCTTGTATAAAGTTTTTCTCTTCAAACTGTTCACCGGCACTCATAGAAAGATTTCGGTATATTTTCGGTACTTAGGGGAGTCCAAACGCCGTCGGTACATTTCGAAAGTTATCGGGAGTTCCCGGAAACCTAAGTGATACGGTGAAATTTCGCCAAAGGCACTTCAGTACAGTTGAAAGTATATCTAATTTGGCCCAAACAAGAGGGTTGTTGTCCTAAGTTACGAATTAGTCGTGGGTGGTTTCAGAACGATCAATTCTCAAGGAAAGATTTCTGGAAACTATCTAAGGGAAATCATCATTGCGAACGAAGACAACCAGATACATCTGTATGGTATCTTTACAGTTTATTGCTCATACAGCAATGGTCTTACGGGAAAATATGTTCTCCCACGAATAATATTGTACGAATTGGATTATTACACTTGTTATATTCCGGCAAAGTTTATTCCATCGGTGTTCTTCTCTGCCCATACATAAAAACCTTAGAAAAAAAAAAAAAAAAAGGTAAGGAAATGATTGCTCGTGATAACCCATAGCCTCCCGCAACTTGTACAAGGAAGCTAAAGGTGTTGTCAGCGATGAATGCAACAGGGAAAGCATTCTTTCCACGCACAGGGAAATAGGTTGCTTGGGAGCAGAATCAAAACCAGTCGAGCACAAACGTGAGCAATGGGAATAGACCAGGATTAATATCGATGGAAAGGGACTCACCCAAAAGAGATAGGAGAAATAATTTATCCGGCACACGGTGACTACATTCCCATTAATTACCAATGACTCGTTCTAAGAACTATCGAATCCCGCACCTCTTGGAGACAAGAATACTGTTTTACATTTAACTAGGAAGGCAGGAACCAACACTGATGGAATTGACTCGCAAAGTATCAATATATGATGAAAAACACTTAAGGAGAGCTTTGACGCTCGCCAAAAAACAAAAACAAAGAATACAGAAGTGATGAAACAATGACTAAGTTAAGTGTTACACTACACTTGTACCCAGACCTCACGCGCTCGGGTGGAGTGATACAGGTGAGATCAATCAGCTGGCTTGCGAGACGAATCTTACACAAAATTGGCGCTACATTTTCTCTGCTATTGTTAATCTGAAGGGAAATTAACTAAGTGAATATGCTTGTCAGCGAAATGTGTATAACAATATTAGCAAACTACAACGTTACATGTCCCACTATGTGGAATCTACTACTGCATGGTATTCCGTTAACATTTTTGTTTCTAGCTTCGTAAACTCGTCATAATTATTTTATGAAAATAACACCTACTTTTAGCAAATCCGGTGTCAAGCCACTGTTTATGATATATAGCATGCCCTAGCACTGTAATTTCTTTTAAGGAACGATGAACATTTGGAGCAAAAGTAACTTTCCAAGGGGGAGGGGTGGAGTTTCTCTTTGTAACAAAGCAGCTATATTAGTTCAAGAGGCTTTTAGAGTACTATCATTCCAATACTTCCATTACCTTTACGAGGTCCTACCTACTGTATTGAGCTCTCAAGAAATGACTCCACACTTATTTAACCACTTTACATTTCCTTTAAGCACTTATGAAATTGTGAGCTGTGTCAAGAACTACGCAAATGAACCAAAATTCAACGATCTTGTATTTTCATCAGATTATTCAAGCAAATCTTTGTCATAATTGAGTTTGGATAACTGGAGAAAAAGCAATAACTGTGATGTGAATCCCCGCCACTCATTGCAAACAAGAAAAGGTAAACTATTACACAGCATTTCATCGAATCAATCAATCAACTTACTAAACTTAATATCAATAATACTCTTTGAGTACTTGTATTAAGAAATGTTGCCTTGCAGACTGGCTTAAACATTGCCGAATTCTGTAATTCTATGTAGTGGTGTTGATTGGACCAAAATCAAAACAAAACCACAGCTGCTAAACCTTGCAAAGAGAACAAGACCACCACCAGGATTTGGAAAGTACATTTTGGAGTATATATGTTTTAACTAGGAGTAACAATTATGTAACTCTAATGTAGAGCAAGGAAAACAGCATCATGCATTATCTCTTAAATTTTCCTCACCGCTTACAGAGTCTTTGACCAAAAAAATAGTAACACAAAACACCCTAACAAATACTCAAACACAATCAAATAAAAAAAGCCAATTGTTTTAAACCCCAACCATACATAAAAACACATTGAGGTAACTTAAATGTGGCTAAGTACATGTACTTACACACATGACCTTGACAATACTATTGATACGTTTTTCTATCTTACACGGGACTATTAAATTTCTATTCTGTTGTGCACCTTACTGCTAATAATTATTAACAGAAACGTATATACACAGAGATAAAAGAGCTCGTTTCTTTTCTACGCGCTATCTGCCCAGGAAGAAAACTAAAATTAAATTTTACAAATTCTACCTTGACACCTTTTCGATATTAATGAGAACACTACTTTATAAATTTAAAATTATGTACATAATAAAAAAAAAGGGTGATGCAGGGCTCGACACTAATGGTAGCCCCTATAACATCGAAGATGTCACTAGCCACTTGGCCAGTAAGTTGAAAAGTTAGTGTCGAGCCCTGTTAAACGACCCGAGGGATTCTGCCAGCAATCTACGAATACTTGTCAATGCATGAAGATTTGTACACTAATAAAATCAGAAGTACAATAGTGAATAGGATAATTTTCACTGATGATTTGTACCGAAGCACAATATTGGACTAGCTTACACTTGGAAGAAACGGGCCAACGCTGCCATCGGTGAGCAACCTTGTTTACAACTGGCCTTGACGAGGTAACTCCCGTGATTGTCATAATTTTCTCTGCATGTCAACCTTGGGATAATGTTGTGGTATGGAGCCGCCATTGATGTTCTGATAACTCTGAGCTGGAAGGGCGGTGGACTGGATCAGAGAGTTCAACTCCTGCAGGTCAAGCTGAGTTATCACATTGTTAGTTGGTACATTTCTCGTGCCGTTCTCAGGCATTATGTTGTTCACGTTCTGCTGCGACAAGAAAGACAAGTCGGTCTGCTGAGGAAACATGCCAACATTCAGCTGCGAGTTCAAGTTCGTGGTTTGAATGGGCGGTACACTGTTGTTGCTTTGCAACAAGTTTCGTATTCCTTGTTGCATAGGATTCGGCTTAAAACCAGAGTTGGCGTTCCACATGTTATTAGTCGTTGTCGACGTTCCAGTTTGCGTGCTGGTCACGCTTTCATTTGGGGAAAAGTTCAAAAAGTTCATGTTGCTGTCCTCTTGGTTGACAAACCGAGTATGAGAATTTCCATTTTGGTATCTCATCGTGAGGCCTTGTTTGTGAACAGTTCCATTTTGTGGAGCTCTTGGCTGAGTAACAAATGTATTCTGACTTCCTGGAAGCCGGCTGAAAGTATCTGCAGATGTGTAACGGGTAGAAGAACTGTTAACAACCCGTGGTTGACTACTCTGTGTTGCGATGCTATCCGAAAAACTTGGAAATGAACTCGGTGGATCTGGCAACGTAGGAGTAACCACTTCTTGCTTGATCACAGGCATCTCCTCCACCTGAACGTACCCTCCTTGCTGCATAATTTCCGCGAGCCTACCGTCTCTTCTTTGGTCTGTATCAGCCATCAGTTCGTCGATAACATCAATTATCATTTCATCCGTCAATTCTTGTGAGGCAACTTCCTTTAGTTGTTGAAAGAACTGCATTTTTCCATCATTTGGATTTGAAATTCGTGAAACGTCCGTTGGAACTCTAAAAGATCCAGTGCCTGTTGATGCCAGATCGTTTCTTGGTGGTTGTGGAACCCTTGCTTGGATATTTCTAACCTGTGTTGTCGTGATGGTGTTTGGAGCTCTTGCAGTCGGGATGCTTTGCGTTATATTCATCATGGGAGCACTCGAAGGAGTAGCAGTGCTCGGATGATTAAATACAGGTGGCGCCTTAGGATGGAATCTCCTCTCCCCAGATGAATTTGCACTGCCAAACCTGCAAGGACTGTTGCTGCCTCGAGGCTTTGGGCCTCCTACCACACTCAAGGCACCTTCAAGTTCAATAGGAATTAAATTAGGTTTGGTGTCACGGGCGAAATCATCTACAGGAAAATTTTCATATGCTCGTGATGGCACACTGGGAGGAGGCATCGGCTGAGTGTTCACACCAGGTACTGAGGGCAGTGGAAAGTCGTCACTCTCCATAGTAATTTCTTCAATCTTTGGTGTCACCAAATTTTGGATCGTACCATTAGTCTGCAATCCGTCTAGGCCATGATTCAGGAGTAGAGATTCAAGGCTTGTGTCCGGCTGAGGGATCTCACTTCCAGTTGCCACGTACTTAATAATGTCCTGATCTAACTCAGGCAGCTCAGCCCTAATCATTTTTGCCCAGTCTTCTACGTCTTCCTCCAAGGTACTTGTCGACCCTCCATCTCCCGGGATACTATTGCCCCTGGACAATGTATGGTATTTACTCCAGGTGTTGGAAGTAGCTTGTCCCCATGGTTCGGCAGTTGAGGTGGTGAACACTTCATTATCAAAGCCAGTGATATCGGCTGACGTGGTTTTGGGATACCCCGTCCGGTCGAGGGCGATGGTGTCCATCAAGGTGGGTTTTGGAACAAGGTTGTCAGCTGAAAAGGAGAGAATTGAACTTATCAGGTTACAGCTGGGAAACCTTTCTACTTTCTTCAAAGGAGAAATTGAACTGTTATTTACCACGATGACTAACTACAAACTTTTTTACCTTTAATACTAATACTTACATGTTTCATGCCACTTTGGATAAATCATGACTTGATCGTCGTATTGCGCATCTTTTAGCTCGCCAGTCGTGTCTGCCTCGTTTTCCACCTCAGTGATACGAGTATTTGTGAGAGGTGGTTTGTCCTCCAATTGCGCCATTCCAAGTACAACACCACGGTGTTCTACATCACTGTCAAAGACAAACTTCAGTCAGCAACACTTTCGACTACTTATCAGATGGCACTCTTTTTGAATACGTGGCGTAAAACCAAAAGCAAAGCAATCGCAATGCCAACCAGAACAAAGGAAATTATCATGAGTTTCTAGAGCAGTTTTCAATTGAGTGTCAAAAGTAATCCGGGATTCCACTGGTTTCGCTTTGCTTCGCTCTGTGATTGGCCCAGAAAACTCGCGCCATTTTCTCAACTTATCAGATGCAAAACTAAAATTGGTCCCAAATTGGTCGCTCGTGTTTTTCCGCGCTTTGGCTCGTAAAGGTATTTTCCTTTCTTCTCCTTTGCTGATGTGTAAGTCCCATAACACTTCACTACACTGCTGGATGTAGAAAGCAAACTGTGAAACAAACTGCAAGAAATGTTGAGTGTTCATGAACATGTCTGATATATTTACCTCACAATGTAGTTCAGACACAGCATTTGTTTGAGTTCTGGGTTTGTTGGATGAGGAATAAGAGAAGCTTTGGTCTGCATCCACACCCACCCGCCATTTTTGTTCATCCAACGATAGTACTTGGTGAGAACTTGACCCTTGGTTAGAACTGTGGAGAAAGTAACTATTTGTTTCAGTAATTACAATCAACGTCTAAAAGAATTAACCCTTAAAGTCCCATGAGTGACCAAGATAGAATATCAAGAAAATATAGATTAAAATATAGATTAAAATATCAAGAAAATATAGATTAAAATATAGATTAAAATATCAAGAAAATATAGATTAAAATATAGATTAAAATATCAAGAAAATATAGACTAGGGCATTTACCTGTTGATCTGATACCAAATTCTCCAAAGTAACATCAAAAGAACTCAGGAGATTTACTAATGAGCTCTTGAGAAGTGAGACAGTTAAGATACATTATTCTTGGGTTGGCTTTAGGGTAATTTATGTTGTTATTAATTGGAATAAAATCTTGCTAACCCAATTAGCAGAGGGGACAGGTTAGAAAACCCAACAGGTTTCTTTGAGGTCATTTCTTTATTTTTCTTTTGTTAGTGTTTGTTTTGTTGTTGTTGTTTTATTTTTTAACCAAGACACCAACCAATAGCTGATAAGATTTTTTAAATTCTACACAGCTGTCAACTAGCTAAACATTATCAGTGGAAAGAGAGGATCAAAAGTTAATCCTTACATTTTGCATGGTGTGATTGGATGACAGCAATGTCATTGCCGTGATAGAAATCATATGCTGATATTCCAACAATATCTCGAGCAAAGTAGTCCATAAACTTGTGAATTCTGCAAAAGAAAAATCACAGAATTTATGTTTTGACACAATCTCCCAGTTTAGGACAGTTCTTGGTTATGCTCAATGTTTCACCTGAGATATTTTCATGCCTACTTTTAGTTAACTGAGGTTGTATATCAAGGTAACAAAGAAAAAAATAGAGAAGATAAGATTTGGTTCAGTTACTGAAGAGTGTCTTGAAAAGATATTAAAAGATTCATCATTTTCCAGGTTTTTGCAATGAAACAACACAATGGACATAAATGCCCAAGTGGCAACCAAAAGAACATAATCTCCAATACACACCTTCCCTCACAATAAACAATTCTGAGATCCATGTTCACTCTGCTAACAAACATGTTACATTCCAATGGGAGCTCATTGATGTTCATTGTAGGCAGAGGTTGTCCAATTGCGACAAATGCATACTTGGGCCCAGGAAGGCCACCGGCAGAATATGGCTTCATTCTTCCCATGCAGTGAATAACCTAGAAAGGAAAATAATCTCACATTCAATATTAGGACTTGTCATGTGACACAGTTACATATAAATATCTACAGTTAATTTCACAGCAAAAGGTCATTATGCAGCAAAATTAAAAAAAAAAAGACATTAATTTTATTCATGTGACTGGCAAATTCAGAAAACAATGAACACCAAATGTGCTTATAGAATTTCATTGTGTTCTAGAGCCAATGAAGTACATAGGACAAAACCACAAAGACTAACACTTGCCATAATTATAACTTTCTGGTCTGGTTCAATAGCTGGCTTGAGTTTTGAACAATAATGTGATTTGCGGAATCAAACAAAAGTGTTTGCCGTGATTTTGATAGAGGCATGAGAATTACCTTGTGAATGACAAAACAAAAATAAAGTAAAAGTATCATTTTAGTTATGGTTGTTGTCTTATAAAAGTTGACCCTTGACACCCTAACATTAATAATAATATTCTCCACCCAGTTATCTTTACATTTCATGTGGTTCTGACAAGGAGAATTTGTTTGATAATCAGGAGCCTCTTTATTTTTGTGATCATTTTCCTTATTCTTGTGACCTCAACCCTTTAACTCCCAGAAGTGATTAACATGTAACTTCTCCCTATAATATCCATACATTATCCAGCAAACAGGTAATGAGAATACTCAAATTTGTCTGGTGGGAGTTGTTGTCTTGATCTAACACCAGATTCTCATAGCTTATTTATAAGAAATTGTGTAACAGCTAAAATGGGGAGAATTAACAATCTAATCTTGGGAGTTAAAGCATTAAAGGTTGATTCAGCAGTCATGCAAGGAGAAAATATTAGATCCCAGTCACTCTAGGATGAGCAGAAATGTTTCTAATTGCCTACTTGGTAACAAACTAACTGTGTTTCTGGCCATTTGTTTCAGAGCTAATCAGACATGTGGTTTACCATGGACATTACAACAGACTGTGCATTGAAACAGCCCTAACATCAGTATGAAAAGGTACACAATCATGTAATCCACTCATAACTGATTGATACACAGCCTTGCTAACCTTGAATCCAGATGATTTGGTATAAGAACCTCCTCTGCGCACCAGAGTGCACTTCATTCGCAAGAAAAATGACTTTGGTTTCTGTGCATTGGGCCGCCCATTCTCATCAAGAAAACCTAAAATATGGAAGTAGAGACTTATTCAGTCATTCATGGATACAGTACATACACCCTTCCATCACTTTGGAAGAGAAATGTAATTGTTTGTCTCTCCATGTAGTCACTTAGGATATGGATCAATGTGCAATCCAAATCCCTAGTGTTATTGCCCTTGATGAATAACCCACAACCTATTTTAACCCTTACATCAGTTTGAAAATTCTCCATACTGTTCTACATACATTTCCTATGGAACTAACAAGGAGAATTTGGTTAACAATCAAGAGCTTCTTTAGTTGGTGCTCATTTTCTTTTTTCTTGTGACTTTAAATAGGTGAGTCTGGTGTGATATGTTAGGGGGAGGGTAGATGCTGGTCCCTCTTAATTAAGGGAAAAAGGATTATTTACATTTACCAATTTTAGTGTCTTAGACAATCTGGGATTACAAAGGATTTGCTTCCTTACACTTTGAAAAAAAAAGGGCCTACAAAACTCTTCCCCTTTCAACCAATCAGACGCAAAACTTAAACATCACATTATCAAAACTTGGTAACCCCTTAGCCTCTAAGAGTGACTACCATCTACAACATCAAACCCCCCCCCTCCTGAATCAAACAGTGAGGTCACAAGAAAAAAGCAAATGATCACCAACTAAAGAAGATCTTAAATGTTAGACAAAATTCTTCTTGTCGGCACCTTAGGAAATGTATATAGGACAGTACGGAGAATATGCATACTGTTGTTAGGGTGTACGGGGTTAAGTACTTCTCAGTGGCTTCATGTGAATGATATCAACATTTCATTTAATGCCTATCTCACCTACATTGGTTTTGTATTTTCAATAACCCTTTGATTGACACCCAATGATGTGCACCCTTCTCACCTGTCTGGTTTCCAAAGAAAGGAATATCATCTGTGTATCTCCCTGATGATGAAGGAGTACAGTTTCCATTGTTTTCCAATTCTTCCTTTGCAGCTTGCAACACATTGGCAAGATCCTGTTGATCCTCTGGGTGAATGTAGCCATACATGTTGCTTCCAGTCAGCTCAACCTGAAGAAGAAAAAGGGAAAAACACACTTTGAAGTAAGGAAACATTTCAACCTTTTAATGCCAGAAGTGATGAATGAGTAACTTCTCCCTCTGATACCTAATCATTATCCAGCAAACAGGTGATGAAAATACTCAAACTTATCAGGAACAAGCTGTCATCGTGATCTAACACCAAATTCTTGTAACTAATTTACAAGGATATGTATGGCAACTAGAGAAGAGAATTAACAATCAGATCTTAGTCAATGGGTTGAGAGAATGCAACACCTTAGCAAAGTAACCTAACATCCGTCAACTGATCTGTTTGACCATTCTCATTACCTTTTTACAAGACAATTTAGAGATATTGTTGGGAGATTCTACATGTTAATCAGCTCAGGGAGTTTTCTACCCTGTAATATCTTATTTTCCATGGTTACAAATCTCTTAAATTTCCTTAGCAATCAGTAAACCCCTCATGCAGCAGCAGAATATAACCTGCTTTAAATTCCCTGTAGAGATCAAACCATGGAAACTAGTGTGTGTTATAAGGAATGTCAACCAAAGGGGTACATGGAATGGATAATACTACATGTGTTTCACAAGGGAATAGAGGACAACTAGAAGGAGATTCTAGCAGGCTACCAGGAGTCACCTACACTGCCAGCTGACTGATTGTCTCTTTACCTGGCGCCTGTCTATCATGTCTGTCTTTTTGTCTGTCTGTCTGTCTGTCTTCTACTTGTCTATCTGCCTACCATCTGTCTTTGTAACATAACCAAAGTAAAGTGAGCACTGTGATTGGTCAATTTAGCATCCCCCATTTACCCATGGGTGTACACTGCTGACATGAGCAAATGCAAAGACTACTTTTCTGCACGCGCTTGTTTTTTCTGGTCACGCAAGATTTGTTAAATAAAAGGGAACTCTTTATCTACAATGTATCAATGTTATGTTATAAAACAAATGGTAAACACCACAGTGTACACTATTGAGTTATGGATGCACTTGGGAGGTTTGTTAAGCACTCAAGAAGCTACAGTTACTCTCGGCTATTGCCTCGCGCAACTCTTACACTTCTTTCGTGCTTAACAAACTCCCGGGTGCATCCATAACTCAATAGTGTACACTGTAGTGTTTACCATCTGTCTTTCTCACAACCAGTCTGTCTCCCACTCAGTCTGTCTTTCTGACCATCTGTCAGCCTATCTGTCTGTTTGTCTACCCATATGATAACTACTGTGCTTGTCAGATTTTGTCTGTCTGTCTGACTGACTCCCTGCCTACCTCTCTGTTTTGACTATAGGTGTGTCTGTCAGACACCAACCTGTGACAGTCCAAGATGAACAGACACAGTCTCTGAAACATACAGGACTTTGGTATCACTGGAGAGAACAAACAGGAACCCATCCAAAGCCTAATGAAGAATAAAACATGATACGCTTAGTAAGTAAATCCAGTTTTCTCATGTGTAGTGGTAATTTAGAATTTCTTTGACAAAATCCTTCATTCCATGATTTGAACAAACAACTTTGCCCTCATGCTTTCTTCAAAGAAAAGAAACATTCAGTGAGCTTTCAAAGCTAAAGAGTTAAAAGCAAAAAACAATCCCTGACATTCACTTGAGGGGTCAAGGGAGTTTCACAGTCCTCCATACACTTACCTGCAACAAAAATATACCACTGTTTGCAGCAAGATCACTGTAATTAGTGCCTGAGCTGTATGGCACAACTGCACCTAATGGTAAAAAAGTTAACAATTTTAGACAAGGACATCTAACAATAAAGACACTGATGAAGGGCAAAAAGGAAATATTCTTTGAAGGTAAAGGGGACCAACCCTGATTGTCACAAAATTCAGTGACCTTACAAGTTGCCACAAAGTAAGAGGGAAAGTCACCCATGAGATGTTCCATGAGGCATTCCAAATCAGAGAACCCTTCAACTACCATACAAAATCCTCCAACTAGTTTTCTGTTCAGTAAGCTATTTTTAAATTTGACCCAGGAGCCATTTTTCATTTTATTTCACCTCTTACTTGAAACTATTTCCTTGCTGTCACACTTGTTGACAGTTTACACCCTAATATCAGTATGCATATTCTCCATACTGTTCTCTATACATTTCCCATGGTGCCGACAAGGAGAATGTGTGTGCCAATCACAAGCACCTTAAATTGGTGATCATTTCCTTTATTCTCAACACCTTTATATTTGAATCAAGACTGATAATGTATGGAGATATTAAAAGCCTTTCAGTCACCCATCAGTGGTTAAAGCAGGGCTTGAAATTAAAAAAAAAATTCTTGACCACAATTTGCTAGTAATTCCTAAAATTTAGTTGCAAGTTTGAAAATTTTAGTTGCAAAAGTAGCCTACTTCTACCAGAACCAGAAATTAGAAACAAAGATTTCCTTGAAATTTCATGAGCATTGCACAATGTAGTTTCTGAAAAAGTGCACCTGCAATATGTTTCTCAGCAAGAAATCAACAATAAAAGTCACACAACATTTAACTTGAATTTTGCAGGATTTTTCTGATAAAACTACAGCAATCAGTAACAAGCAAGACACAAGGCTGCTAATATAATTTATTTATAAGCTAGGCTGTAAAACGGTTGCAAACAAATCTTTATTTGCAAATGTGCCCAATACAGGTGCAATTTCAAGCCATGTAAAGGGTTAATGAAAACCCGTGATCAGTATCATAGTACAAATTTTCAAATTTTTAACTTTTTCTATTTCTTCGGATACCTGTAGAGGAACTTGCGACTGCTGGTGGAGAAGAAATAGAAGAAGGTGGAGAGGGACTCTCTGTGTGAAGTTCTACAAAAAAGTACACAAGGCAAGGTGTTCTTTAGTTTTCCAAAATCAAAGAATTTACAGACAACTACACAGAATTCTTCAGCCTAATTTTGATGACTGCAGATCTTTATTTTAAATTCCATTGTTAATAATAATAACAGGGGATCTCATTACCTCCATCCAAATCTGACATGGGTGATGATGATGACACAGACATCTGCGAGCAGTCCGAACCCACACGAAAATGTTTTCCTGTAAAAACAATATGAAAATAAGCAAGCTGAAGATTACTCTGGGAAGCAGTCTAAGCAGCTGTCCAGGGCTTCCATGCAATAATAAATACTGGCCAAACCATTATGTAGATTAGGGAATGCATTAAGTTATTTTGCTACAAGGACAAAAGTGATTTATTTACCTCTCTTGCCGAACTGCTTCATGTTCAGGTAACTGATTGTAAGACGGACAATGGAAGCTTTATCCAGTTGCGAAGTGATAGCTGGGGGTAGGGGCAGGAGCTTAGCCAGCTCATCAAACTGAGCATTCTCCTTGCCGCGTCTGCTTCTTGCAGCATCTCGAGATCTCTCTTTGCGGAGCTCGACAACTCTGAAACACAACAGAAAAAAATTATTGTGAACTTTCATGAGAAGCAAAACCCTGATAGCAAATGAATTAACATCTTAGTTATTTTTAATTTTCTTCTTCTGCTCTTAAAAAATCTCATGGCAAAAAAAAAAAAGTCCTTTTGTAATAACTTCACTGATACAATTTATTTGTTATGGTCCAGTTGTTTTCTTCAATTTGAGTTCTTTAAACAGTACTTAGAAAAAAAGAATGAAGCTTTATATGAATGAGGAAAATTAGAGTTGAAAATGAAATTTAAAAAAATACAAACAAACAAACAGATTTTACAATAATTTCCACACACTGCCTCATTGTTTACTCCCAACAACAGAGCACATGTTTGGCGGGTATTTTAATCAACAGCACGTACAATCAAAAAAGGCTTTCGTAGAAAATTGTCAAATTACACTGTGTATAGCATTTCATTTAGAAAAAGAAGAAAAATCAACTGGTTTAATATTACAAAATGTTTCAATCAAAACTAATCACACTAAACAATTCTCACATTTTGTTAAATTCCTGTAGTGGCTATTTTCAATAACACAGTTCAATCACTCTGTAATTTCATGAACAGATAGTTTCCTAATAAGGAAAGATTTAAGGATCCAGATAGATCTGTTTTCAACTTAAATCCTACAGTTTCAAATTTCTCTCAAGAAAGACACAAAGAATGGTAATTTTCAATGCCATAAAAGGTTATTAATTAATAAATTAGGCGGACACCACGTAATATGATGTGTTTACATTGCTGACATAACTTATTTGTATTTAGGTCACGTCTTGTAAAGCCCAACCAAAACAAAGAAGCAATTTAGCACTTCACAAACCTAAATAACCTTGTCATGGGAAAGGAAGGAAACAGAACATAAATTTCCTCCTATATGTATTAAATTCTAGTTCTGCTTTCTGGTGTTCACAAAGAAAAGTTATTATTAGAACTCATGATTGTAAAATGCATGACAATGCAAATTTCATATTCATAGAATATGCTAATTACTCGTCTTTTGAATTTTCTTTTTAATGGTTGTCTTTGTTCATGTTCCCTCACTGAATCTGAAAAGTACTCCAAGGTCAGACCTGTACATGCAAGTTAACGAGTTTAAGATATTGCACTGGGTAACAGAATACTACCTGTGCTTAACACAAAAAGGAAAAAAATAATATTGAATGCTATAATTACTGCATTACCAAAGAAATAACTTTCCTTTTACAAAACTAATCTAATTGCATCTCTGATGCACAAATTAAGACACATTTTAAAACTTGAAGGGTTCTTCATATGGTTTTCAACATGGCAATCAATGCCATTGTCCTGGTCATAAAACGCTTGGCAGTTAACATTGGAGATTAACACGAAAAAACAAAAAACCACCAGTGTGAGATAACCACAACAGGAAGTGGCAAAAAGCTTCTGTGACCAGTTCTTGTTTAAATAGGAAGAGTCAAAAAAGCATGACTTTAGCCTAGTACATGTATTTGACCACAAGTACATGCATAATTTTGCACAAGTTTTCAATCAACACGTGTTTAAGCTGCCAAATTAATTCACCCAAACGACTGTCTCATGATCTACCTCATATTACAAAGAAAAGTTTCATTAAAACTCACCCATGAAGAAACAAGAGATTGAAAAGGGACTTAAAAAATTAATTCAAGGGAAACTTCTGACAAAGAACTGCTAATTCCCTTGTTTGCTACAATAATCCTCTTATATTAATGACAGATGTGGTCAGAAGAAGCCAGCAAATGAAACACATGCATTGAAATAACAGTTACTGAAGAAAAATTAAGAATGCCACCAGATTTATTCCTCTAGATTACTCTTAGGCCACACACATCAGGAACTTACTAACCAAAATTAATCAATTAATATAAAATATTAGAAATTATGTTTGACAATGAAAATATTCAAAAGAAGGACTACTAGCTGATGAAATACTACCACAGCAAAGAGACATTTTTTAACCTTTAGGGAGTAAGTTTGTGAGGAAACTGTGGTGCTGCAATCACAAGGAAATAAATTAATTAGGTTTTATCACCCAAGTTGATAATGTAGATGGCCAGCATCGAGAGCTTCTAAAGCTAATGTTAGGAGCGCAAGTTCTTCATCACTTTAATTCCCATTTTGACTAGAAATGGGGAGAGTATACACTGTACTTTGGTTTGATCACATCACGATGAAAAGAGTGTGATAGATGCAGTCTTGGTAATGTTCAATTATAATACAAAGTGACTTGGAGAAAGCTCTAATACATATTAGTAGGTGACAAGTTCCTGCTATCATTACCACATTGCCCGAGTCCAACTTTGGACCTAATTTTGTAATTTAGAATTTCTTACTAACCATCTCAAACATTTCAGTTTCAGTTTTGTACATTTATATCCCCCAAAAAACATATACAAATATGGTAGAGTTTCCTTAACAAACAAGGTTGAATAAAACAACCTGGAACAATCAGAAAAATAGCAGGGGGGAAAACATGAACTTTTCACATGGCAGCTGGCAGTGTTACCATGTGAAAACTTTGTAACATTCAGCAGACGGCATCATTATCTGCCACAAGAAAAGGAGCTTTGCAGTTTCACAAAATTGTGCCATGTTTTTATAGTGGTGAATGTTAAAAGGAGTTGGAATCTCTGCTCTGTTCAGTTCACAAAGGCTTCTAATTCACTGGATAATTGATTTATGAAGTTAATAGTAAAGCTTTTGTTTCAATCCCTAGGATGTGTATGTTTGCAAGGTGTTGTCCTTGCGCAGTAAAAGGGGAATCCAAATGTACATGCAAACATTGGCTTGGGAAAATTTTACCTCGAAGAAAAGAAGCCCATTCTAAAAACCAGATATCATTCCACACAAAGAACAAACATTACTGAGAAAAAACAATTGAGCAGTAAAAAAATATTGTGGGATGCCTTCACAAACACAGTCACAACAAAGTTTTCAAATACTTTCACTAATAGTAAAGTTTTCATTTAAAAATGAGTTCAAGGTTATACAGTTTCATCCAAAATAATGTACATGTGTATGGCATTATATTCACAACAAACCCCATCATGCTCTGTAAATTGATTTAATTTACATACCTTTGATAAAATAAAACAACCGAAGTTATCTTTTAATTTGAATTTTCATGGCTGCCTTCTGGCTATGAATATTTGTGGTAATGAGGCATTGTACAAGAAAAAAGCAAGTTTAGCAATCCTCCTGGTTTAGAACAACTAAAATAATAATTGTATTGTTACCAAAATATACAAGGTATATTCTTAGCAGGTAAAACATTTAATATTAGCACAAACTTTTGTGGAAACATTTATTGTTTCACACCATTGCTCACAAAACCAAACGGGATACTAAGCACTTGGTCTTCAGAATTAATCACAGCAAGAATAATAGATATATAATTACATTGGTAAAATTTTCTGCTGTCAACAACTGAGCAGCTTCAAGTGGATTTACAAAGCACTGTTATGACAGAGGTAGAATTTGCACACCTATTGTGAAATGAAAAACTTTATTTGAGAAGCAATGCATGTAAGCGCCTTTACCTTAACACTTTTGGTCACAAAAGTGCTTGACAAGAATTGATAAATTCTTTGCGTTCATTTGGCAATGACAGCTCTGAATAATAGAGTTCATGAGGAAGAAAGAACGCTTATCTAACAATCTGCTTTCTCATCTTTCAGTAATGCCCTTTAAGCAATAAGAATGAATTCAATGTCACAATTTGAAAAAAAAAAAAAAACCTCTAAAATCAGATGGAGTCACAAAAAGTAAAAATTGTACATTTGCATAGATTATTCAGAGCTTCATTCAGATAAGACTTCATTTGATAATCACTGCAACTTCGCAAACGCATAGAACTTAGACATGACCTACATGATCTGTTTCTATAGAAACTGTGTGGGTTGTGATTAGTAGGCAGGAAAATGGAACACGTACATGATAGGGATAACAAAACAGCCAAAGCTTTTTATAATTTGTCACAGCCATTCAACTAACTTTTGCAACTGCTAAATGATAATTAATTCCTACTACGGTTGACCCCCATTTTTAAACCTAGAGTATTCTTTCCCAGAAGTAAGAGCATGTACAATAAATGCAACAATGACTTTATTCGCATTTGTGGTTTCCAGACAATGGTTCACAAATTTATGCAAGATTTGACCAAACATCCAAACATTGCAGATTTCCCCAAAAAATGACAACCAAACAACAACAATGCTATATATGACTGCAGAAACCTATCTGATAAAAAAGTAACTGCTAAGAGGATCAATTTTGCTTTTGCAAATAATCAGAATTCATAACTCCTCAACAGAAGCAAAGTTCACAAAAGGGGACATAAAGGAAAAAAATAAATACAGATGTACAACTGTAGCAGACCATCCTCTGCATGCCTAAATAAATGAAAAGCTGCCATCAAAATTAAGCCAGAGAATACTTTGTAATTGCACGAGAATTATTTGATGCCTAGTGTAGGGTTGTTATAGCAACCAAAAAAAGGAATACTAACTACAAACAGGCTAAAAAAAATATTTGTATCTAATGCATGGTTATTCAGCATACTACCAGTGACATGTAACCCTCGTGTTACAGTTGTAATGTGATAAATAGTTTTGTAGTAAAGCTTAATCAGAGATGACCAGATTTGGAATATTTGACACTGTTTTATCAATAGCTCTTTCATACAGAACCTACTGGCAATTCTAAGGTTTAGAAGCAAGGATAGCTACTTTTAGTAGCAGTGAAAATCTGTTTTTGCTGGCACTGCCTACCAATACTGTACACAAACACTACCATAGCTGTTGCCTAGAGACAATGTTCCCTGTCTATGTCCAGTAAAGCTAGATGTTACTCATTTACAACAACAGTTTTTTACCTCACAGGGAAAATGGCAGCTAAAGCACAAGTGCATAATCCTTTGACACGTTCTTTATGGTTTTCTTCAAAAAATATTCTTGGAAATGAATATACCAGGTTCCCTAGACAAGAACCTCAAGGCTACCAAACTTATCAACACCCAATTTAAAAAAAACAAACAAACAAACAAACATACTGTAGCCCTGATGATGGCAAACAGCCGAAAACGTTTGGTTTAAACATTTTAATAATTTTTTTTTCCTAATCTTTTAGCCTTGTACATGTATATAGAATATACTGTAGCTTACTTTTCTTACTTTTTCACTTTGTGTTCAGAGACATGATACCAGGGTTTCACTAACCTTTTTTCATAAGTAGATGAGGATGGTGTTATAGATGGCCCTGCTTTAAGGCGAAACCCAAACACAAAAGCCAACTCACAAGCTCCCTGTGAGAAAGCTTGTAGGCGGCAGCACACTGCAGATAACCAGCGTTAGTTGAAACCACTACTGATACCCACGAATAACATTTTTATGCACAGTTTTGCTATGCAGAAACAATTTATAAAATTCTTTAAACCTTGAGAAAGCGTTAAATGTTGGCTGGCTTATTTACCACATGAACCAGCGGAAATATCAAGTTTCTTCAGTCGCAAAATTTGCAATGTTATCATGATAAAGATACAGTTGATTTGGAGTAAAACAAATCACAACATCTGTATTTTTTTTTTGCCATGCAGACAGAACTCTTTACGTGCTGCCAGTGTGAAAACCTGGCGACAATTACAAAATCTTCTAATTTCCCGGCCATTAAAGGAGGTATCCATAGACAGGCGAGTTGTCTGAAAGATATGCATATTACTTAACTGTCTGATAATGCAGCCCTAAAACTTGGCTATATTGTAATGCGTGACTACAAAGCCTTTCAAACAAAATGAGAATGAATTTTTCCATTAAAATTGAAAAGAAACAAGGTTCTTTTCAGCAGTTTCATCGCAGTAGGACGCAAAACTATAACAATGAGAATCAAGGTGCATGTAGATTACTTCAACCAATCCAAAGAAAAAAATTATTTCAAGCACAGACTCCTCAGGTAATTAAACCCAAACACTTCAATATATCTAATGGGTCTGTTCAAGGGACTCCTTTGATAAAAATGGCAATTTTTTTGAAACAAACAATATGTTTGGATAAGTATCGCAACAAGAAGGAATACTTCAAAGCTAGGCAAGGTTTTATGCAAGATATTGCTTGATGGGGTTACTTTTGATATTCCACACAAGGCAAAAAATAAATGTTAACCCCTACTTAAATCGATTGCTCTAAAACTGGCTGCAATGAGATTGACAACAACCTCTCTGACAGATGCTGACTCGGTAATTCTTAGTCTACTCCAGTTTGAATAATTGTTGCAAAAAGTAAAATTTTACATGCTGAAGGAAAGACTTTTCTTTTTTGCACTAGTCTTAAGTTTGCCTAACCGCTATGAAAGTTTGATGGGCAAAACACAAAGTGAAACTAGTATACTAGGTTCCAAACACTACTGTGATATTACAGAGGGGAAATTTACTTAAGAGAGGTAAATGTACCACCTCCAGTGATCCACTAAAAGAAACACACTTCATATTAATTTAAGATTGGAAATTTCTCTCAACATTTGCCCCCTCTGCCCAGCGTCTGTGTGAAACGGGTACCAGCATGGTTGGTTGTATAAACATGTTTCTTTCACTTTACAGAACAACCTACATGACAATCACAGTTTGAGAAAAGTAAATAAAAATAACCGAATGGCCTGAGGATATCAAACAAATTAATGCAACAAGATGACAGCGTGCATGAACAGATGCTTCTCAGAGGAGTGGACCACGTGGAATTGATACAATCCATCTACAACTGATCATTAAACAATGGTTGCCTCTTGATACCAAGAAGCTATGAAATGTGATAGTTGGAGAGTATACACATCATTTCACTTTCTATTGGCTGGGGTTTCAGGAACTGTGAAACTACCTTAGGTTGCAGTAGGCACGAGATGTTAATGGCAATCAAGAAATATCTTTGCATACACCTGAAAATGACATTGTGTTCAAAACAAATGAGATGATATTGGCTCCATGTGGTGATCGAAACCAAGTCAAGGCTAATTTTAATAAAGGACTGGATTTAAAATGACAGCTCCATTTTTTGACAATCACACCTAGGTGCCCCCTTCTTGTGCTAAAATAGCAAAATGATCAGTTTTTCAACAGACCATAAAGCATCCTTGAGTGGGAGTTAACCTTTCTTTACATGACAAACCTTAGTTGGATAACATTTCTCTAACGTGCATCAAGTTGTAAATTATTTCAAAGCACGTGCAAAAGTTCACAAAAATACAAGAATAAACCCCAATCGGGTTCGTAAACGGGAACAGAACTCCGTAACTAAAATTACAACTTGTAAAAAAATACAAAAGAATGAGAAAAGTGCGTCAATCGAAGATCAAATTTATGTGCCCTGGTTGGCACAAGGTAAGCACGATGTTAAGAATTACGGAAAGAAAAATTAACACATAAAAATTAATCAAGGAATAAAACACGCCATATTCGTTTCACATTGTCGAAAAATATAAAAGAATAAAAATACCGTTAACTTTATGACGCCTTGTAATTAATCACAATCGTCAAAAATTTTCCACACTTGTTCACACGCGAAGCAAGAGAGTTAACATTTCTTGGCGCTGAGATTGCTATAGGAACAATTGATATCATTTGTATATAAATTCCCCGATTTCTTAGAACATTCATAAGGTTCTCCATTTAGTCACGCACACACGAAGAACCCGGCTTACACAAGAGATTTAAAAATTTTTGAGTACAATAAACCGACACGATACAGCTGTCAATTTTGAAAAGAAACTACAGACACCTTAGCCAACCGAGAAAACTAAATGTAAACATGACTTGTTCAGCCAGCCTAAGAGCACTCTAAAAATTCACCCCAAACTTCAAACCCACAACTACAAATATAAAGAAGGCTAGCGTAATGCTGTGAGGGCAAATATATTAATTTTCATGAAACGGTTTAGGTTTGCGTGATCAAGGATTCCGAAGAATGGAATAGGGCTTTTAATCTAACACAGAGCACAGTGCACAAGCGGCGATCGCTCGCAAACCCTCTGAATCGAACAAAGATATTCGAAATTCCGGGATAATTTCGAGAATCGCAACGAGTGTAATTTTGGTCAATTGAGTCGTCACACGATGCGACAAATTTCAAAGTAGACAAGACACGTTTCACAAAAAGCCTTGAAAATTAATATATTGATGTCCTCGGGTAATTTATTCACGGCACTTCTTTGCAGTCTCTGGTGCGTTTCCCAACGTTTGCGCGAAAAAAACGATTCCCAATTTCTCAGGAACACAGCAGAGTCAAACGCAGCTGATTAAAAAAAAAAACCACTACGTTCACCCAATATTAAGCCTTCCACATGGCTTCTTTTCACCGCCTAGTGAGCTCCGAAGAATCTAGCGGGACCGATGTGGTTATTGTATACGGCTCTCAATAATCTTGAAACACACGCAAACACTTGCAAACAGACTGCCTCCAATTTCCGTTCATTGTGATCTCCGTCTTTTTTAACCCAATGCCTGACAATCGCTTCAACACAGCTGACATTATTGAGAACTATGCTCATGTTTGATTATTTTTCTCGTATCGGCGGAACGACACGGCTGTACTGTGTCCGTCGCCGTAAGAACAAGGATATCGACGGATAGAACAAGATATACTACAAAAAGTTATACATGTTTAACCCTCACCTTGAGTTGTCCGTGCTTTTCGATCTGAAAAAGAATGAGAAAAGCAACATCAGTGCTTCCTATTCCTTTGCTGCTCTTTTCCAGACAGATTACGCCGAAGTATGGCATTCTCGCAGTTAATCGAGATGAATGCCATATAATGTTCACCAATACCCTGTCGACACTAAGTTCGCTGCAACATACCTCGGCTTTTGCGCCAAGCGCTTTACTGGCGGCATCCCTGGCTAATTTGTCTCAAAACGCAGCCAAATATTCTTAACCAAAAACTCCTGAGACCTTAGCGGGCTTCTAAGAGTCGACCAAACGAGATCATCTCCAAAGAAAACGACAATTCCAAGGTCCTTTCACAAGCAACAAAATCAAGATGGCGCTTGTTTATCGTTTGACGAGAAATTATTATGCGCATTTTTCTCAGGAACATCACCTGATTGGTCGCAAGACTCCGCCAACATCACGTGATAATGACACCGGGGGTACGACCCCCTACAAAACCTCGAAAGTGATTATTATGTTTTGATTTCCATAGTATTCGCGGTAATTTGATGTGTTTTCGACAAAAGAAGATGTATGCGTGTTTCTTTTTTCTCCTAGAAACAAAAGATAACATCAATACATGCATCCGGTGATCAAGAAAACAATGCAACGGATTTTATTTGCGTGTAAAGTTGTTTGCAAGTGCGGCGTCAAAACAGGTATTGGGTTCAAGCCGGTAGCGACTAATTCGTCACAACTCATGTAAGTTATCGATACGGAAAGAAACCGCCTAACTGAAGCTGAATGCAAGAACTTCCGTTTAAGACACAACGATTAAGGGTAAAGAATAGCAACAGCAAATATTTACTTTTCGTCGAGGTAAAACCGGAAAATTTCGTTTGAACTAAACGGCAGCCTCCCCCCCCTCCCCTCCCTCGAGTCCGAATATTTGATCAGCGTCAATGAATTTCGTCAAGAGTTGCGAACTTATGATATGCTAAATTTAACTTTTTGCCTACGCTGGAATTTTAGGTAGATCGGGTTGGAGTTGGCTTAGACAAACCCAGCTGTTTTCTTTCTCGAAACAGGTGAGTGCTATAGCCGATAAAATCTCTCGATTCTGTGAAAAAAAAAAAAAAAAAATGCAAGCTTAAGGGTTTTTTTGCAACGCTCTTTACAACAGACATTTTAAAGTCTTTAGAAATGAGTCAGGCCATCTCAAAGCCCTCTCTTATCGTGTTTTTAAATATAATGTTTTTTTTTCCTTCATTCAAAATAGTGTTAAATTTAGTCTTCAGTCAGTCACTGAAAGTACAGGTGGCACACCCCACTGACTTTTTAGATGACTATCCAAACTGATGAAATTTGTCATCCACTTTGTACCGTGTCTGACAGGTTTTGCCTTATCAGCTAAATTTACTTGCAGATTAATAAATTTAAACAAGCAGGAACAATGCGTATAGGCATCAGTTCTACACATCAACTTCAAATTCATTTTCAAAAGTGAAGAGGAAGATTCTTGCGTCACAAGTTCATAGTGGAAGTTTTAAGCAAAATAGAAAAGAGAGGAACACAAACACTGACTAATAAGGAAGACCTCTATGGTTACTATGTAAATTAGATATTCAACAGACTTGTGCCAAAAGGTCATATTGAAACTTTGTTAAATTCGAATAATACACCAGAAACTCAGATGAAAAGTAGAACAACCTGCTTGAGGTGTGGTAAGAAAAAGAAGAGGAAAATTTTTAGCTTTGCCTCTCAAATCTAACAATTTGTTATATTTCCTTTGATGTGAGAGCAGATACCCTTTTTCGTATGTGTTTACTTAGGATGCTTTTTTGGCTAGCTGCTGAAAACATTATAATCTGGTCATTTAGTTAAAAAAAATACTGACACTATCTATTCTCCTGAGGAGGTTGGTATTCAAAACCAAAATTTAATCAGAAATTACTTCAACCTTTTTTTTTCCTTTCAACCCTTTAAATACTCTCAAGATCTCTTTATCAGTTCACCTGGCAGTCTACCGTACATTTCTTCTAATTTAGTGTTCAATCAAACAATACCTATAGTTTATAATTACACATTTCCCTCTTCACTATGATTACACTTACCTACAAAATGTATTGATATTGCTCAGAGAAATTCCCTATTGGTCTCTTCTGGAAGTGAAAGGCTAATCTAACAACAGGAATTGGGATTGTGATATGTTAAGGCTAGAAAGCCAGTAGGAATATTTAAAATAAACTTGCTTCCCTCCTCAAATGTTGACTTTTGCTCTATTGGGGAAGTTATCTTCCCTCCTGGAACCTTAAAAGAACTGGTAAATGAATACCACTCCAAAAGGAAGCCTTTGATCAAGGAAGGTGTAATCCAGTTCTAAACTAATCTTATTACACTTTGATTACTGAGTTCTGGAGACTCACGAAACTAACAAGCTAAAACAAACCTTTCCCTCTGGGCAGATTTAATGAAGTTTGTAAGAGCAATTTTCACTGTTATAAAAGTTACATCGTTTGTTATATTTTTATTTTCAACCTTTGTAAAATTGTGTGATGATAACTTACTTTGAACTGTTTAATTTGAAAATATTTTAAAAATGAAATAAGCTGTGCATTTGCTAAAAATAATTCAGACTGTGCTTTTTATAATCTATTACGAAAATTGTAACAAGGGGTTGATTACATAACCTTTCTGTGTATATTCTTTTTCAGCAACAAATTTCATTTTCACCCTAAATGTACAGGAATTAAGTATAACTTAGAACTACAAATTCAAGCCAAAACAATTTTACCTAGGCCTTCCGTTTTTCCTTAGCTTTTCTCTTGTTGGGGAATTCCATGAATGTTAATTAAAATCCCTCTCCCACTAAACAAAATCAACCAGAATTTAACCCTATAATCCAAACATGGCATAAGATTTCAACTTAAGACTCTGACATCAGTATGCATATTCTCCATACTGTTTCCTATACTTTTCCTTTGGTAATGAAAAGGAGAATTTGTTAAACAAACCAAGAGCACCTTGCGTTGTTGATCATTTCCTTTAATTTCTTGACCTTAGTGATTGAATCGAGGGTGTTACTGTAAGCAGAAATTCAATGCATGTCACTCAGAAGCTGAAGGATTTCAAAAATAACTATAGCTCACAATCTAGATACATCTTGTTTGTCATCTCCCTAATCCTATCATACCCCTTCTCTTCATGCAGGTGAAACCACGCAACCGGGATCAAATAAGAAGACCATTATGAAGCTAGAGGCATGACCTACACCTCTCTAAGCTGCAACCATTTTTGTTGCCATAGAAAATAAAAATATTTGTCACCTAAATTCTCAAGGAAAGGTGGCAAATTTATGAATAATTTTCAGAGGTCATGTAGTAAATTCTAATAGTTTCATTCTCTTAATGTTTATGATCTAGAGTAAACTGAGTGGAATGTTTAGGTAAACAGTAAAAATTTCTCTGTAATTGCCTCTTTCACATCCACTGTGTAAGTGTTGAGTTCAACTCTAATCATCAATCTTTTTTTTTTTTTTTTCATTTTCCATTGCCAAATGGCAACTCTGTTAGAAAATATCTGAGCTTGAAGCAGTGACCTTGACATTTGGTAACCAGGAAAACTGAAAGCTTTTCTATCCAATTATCATATACAACAAAGGAAGTTAAAAAGCAGTAAGACTTCTGTTCAAAGTAATTTGTTAACCAAATTAAAGGCATCGGAAGTTACAATGTACAGTTATGGTACATTCAAAGTCTTCGATACTTTCACTTCTAAGATCCTCATATCAATTCTCCAAACTGTCATATATTTTGTAAAAATTTAGCTTGGAGAACAATTGTAACATCAAATAATGTATTCTATTTGATATTTTTCTTTCTTCTTGTCTATTTAATTGAAAATATATTGCTAAGCTAAGGGGAGGAGAAACTTTTTGGTCACCCCTTAGGGGTGGGAAAAGTTCATTACAAGTCTGTAGATCATGAACTGTTGTCAGTAGTTTACAACAGTGCATGAGAGAAAAGCTGATTTTAGCATAGATGATGAGAAATACACAAAAAAGTATTGGAAAAAATGAAGAAAGGTTCTGAAAGAGGTACAATTAAAAAAGTTACATCTTTGTTTGTTATTTATTGTCTTATCTTTCATTATATCCTTGGCCCTGAAGAAGACTAGTGGTACTGTCCAAACATTGGCCTTTTAAATGTTCTTGCTACAATGCCCACACTGCAATTTATCTGGTTTACTTGTATCTTACAACAATGTCTGGTATAAGAATCTTTTCATAAAGAGATTCACCAAAATGTGCCACTAAATTTTACTTTGCATTGTGTGGTTCACTGCATTTATCATTTGTTCTTGTATTCTACTGTTTCTGCCATCCAAATTTCACTACCCAAATCAAGATCCTATCCTTAAACTTGTGCCCCCACTTGCACAAGGGATTCACTTAAAAAAACTGGTAGAAATGTGCTTCCTCAACACCTGATACTAATTTCATCAGACCAAATTGGATAATTTTCTGACCCTTTTTCAGATCTGAATAAATAATGTTGAGGAAGAATGGTATTATTCTCTAGAGTAACAGCTAAGAGAATCAAAACTGAGTTAGGTAATTCTGCATTAGTTGAAGTTGCATGAAAACCTTATTATTAATCGAATGCCTCAATTTGCATGAAGAGGGAACTTTGAGTTTCTGATGGAGATATTTTGATCTGATTTACTATTAATGCTTGAAGATGCATTAGAGATTTTTCCACCTGGTTAAGACCTGAATGACATCAAAACATGTGTCCACCAATATATCCAATCATAGAGAATGCAAAACCACACCCAGTTTTTTATCTACATGATTAACTCCATACCCAGTTTCAAACCAGATGGTAGAAAAAGTCCAAGTTCTCTAAGCATTGTAAGTGGCATAAATAAGAAGAAGAAGAAGAAGAAGAAACTTTATTAGAGTGTCAAAAACCGTCTAGCCAGGGAACAAATCCCCTACTAACAACTCTTCAATTTAACAACTCTTTCTGAGTTGTTAAATTTTGAATTTTTTTTATCTAAAAACTGGACATGAACCCCAGTATGCCCACCTTCCTGTTATTCGTTACATTCTTCTTTTCTTGGATTACTATCTATAACCAATTGCACATCTATGGGAAACACTTTATCTGTTGAAAGCAACGAAGAATGAAAGAAATGCGAATGATTCGCTGATTTGACATTATTACTACAAAACTTTGGAATTTGTTCTGTAATCAGTCACTCCTACACACTTTTGAACAAAGATCAAGTGTTTTCTATTTATAATGACATATGCGTGGTCGCCCAAAATTTGATACAATATGAAACCATGTCATGCTGGCAACATATTTTCACAAAAATATATTTTCAAGCAAAGTTCAAAATTTGGGTTTTTTTCGCTTAGCACCTCAATAAATCCAAAAATGTTTTTAAAATTGACTCTAAGAGCGACTGCGTCACACATATACATACATCTTTATTTAACAATGCAGGTTAGAAAGGTGAGAACACGCACGAATTCAGCAAAGAAGTAAGCTTGTTTTGATACCTCTTACAGTTTACTGAAATATTTTGCAACTTCATTTCCGGTAAATATCATAAGTCGTTTACTTGCAGAGCAGAAATTTTTCTTCTTTTCCGTTAGGCCATTATTTTAACCCAAGTAAGGAATGAATTTCCTTGTTGTGGAATATAAATGAATCAAATGATATAAAAGCTTTTCAAATGTAGTAGGGCAATTTCAGCATATTGGTCTCACTTAAACGCAAGCCACGTTGATGTACTTTGTATGCAGATGAAATGTTTGAAGATTTCTTGCTGTTGTTTGAGCAACAAAAAAAAAAATTAAAAAAGGAGCTCAGCCTTACTTCAAAACCCATTATTTACATCCATCCATTATTTGAGTTGTTCAACCATTAAAAGAAAATTAAGAAATTACACACCTCTTGTATCTCGATTTCTTCCGGCGCCTCGAGGTTCCAGGAGCCACTTTCTTCTTCGACTGTTTCGGCGTTTCCTTCTCTGTAGGTTCAAGAATTCTCAGCTGCATCAGCCCAATATCCACGTCTTGTGCCGTGGAAGAGTTTTTCGAGTTCTACAGAACACAACAACAAAGGACAAAAATTGAGGGAAAATTCAGCAACAACACAGGATGAGAATTTTAACGATCGCCATTATTGATCAAACGATCATAACAAGAAGGAACTATGTGCACATGTTATCAAAAGTTGGACACTTACGAACATTTGAGAAATTCCCGGCAAAATCGTAGCTTTTCTCAAGGGAATATTCACAAAATTAACTCAGTCAGTGAAAAAACGCAATGATATCACAGCGAATCTACTTCCGATCTACTCAACAATTGTCCAACAAAGTATGACGCTTTTTGGGAAAGTTCTAGCCAAATCTAGTATGCGTACGTGACAGAAACCAACATATTGAAATCAGATGTCATAGCGTTGTCAAAATCACATGAAAGTTCTTTGTTTTGGGAATTAGGGCAGAACCGCAAATAACTTAGTAACCAGTATACTTCCTGTTCTTTTACTGATTAGCGAATCAAAACCTGCACTTGACTACCGGAAGCAAAATATCCGAAGCTTGGCTGCTAAGCTGTAGGCTGTTTTCACCGCGTCCTCAAATCTATCGTTTTTTTAGGGAAAATTCCCAGATTTTTTAATCTTTTCTTAGACTACTATGCTGCAGAAATGACGGTAAGTACCACAGAGGAACACACAAGATTATTTGCAAGTCTTGAATCGACGAAAACGAGAGATGTGCTTTTGTTTTGCAGTCAAGCGAGTCCGCAATTTCTGCCACAGCAACCTACGTTGAGAACTACCTAGATTGTGAGTAAATTGTTCCTTTTTGAAACATTATTAACCATCCCATAAAGTGTAAATGGTCATGTTATCTTGAGTGGAAATAGTATCGAAAATATTCGTGTTTCTCGAGTCAGAAAGTTACCTTTACCCGTTTTATGACAAGATATCTTATCGCTATATAGGACCTGTCAAGCTCGAACGGATCTAAAACGGAACTTTTCAAGAATTATAACCGGTTTGAATCCGCGTTCATAATTGGTAGCTTCCTCTTCCGTTGCTTGTTGATTTTTTCTTTTTTTCTTTTTTACTTGACAAGCTTCGTATCTCGTTGTGATGTTTGGTAAATTATGTGCACATATTTGCGAACGTGCGATTTTTGTTACAACTGTGACGTCATTGCGAAGATTTGTGGTCATGCAATTTTGTACGTGATCTCTTAAATGCATGAGCATTGGCATTACCGTAAATATAATCTGAAGTGGTTCATCAACTCACGAGATTCCCGGCCACTCATTTATATGTCATTGAATAAGAATAGCATCTATTATGTTATGCTTCATTCTTCAAAGCCTCCCGACACATGTAAATGATGTGGACGGGTATTCTGAAGTTGCTCCAAACCTTTTTACTCTCAAGTGTTCTCGTTTTGGATTTCTCGATGTTTACGTTTTTGCAGCAACTCATTTGTGTAATATGAGATCTTACGATATGTTTGCTTTCGCACGCATGTAAATAAGCGAAGGCCTCTGGTGTGTACGTTTCCAAGATCTCCCTGAGTGTTTCTTTACTTTGTATATCAACTGCTTTTACAAAATCTTTGAAGACTAGACACTAGTTGTAGACAATGAGGTTAAAAGCCATTCTGATTGAAACAAAAGACTGGCAGGAAGACAGACAATGACTTAAAACATTGATCTTTATTATTTTCGTTTTTCTCCTTTAATCAAATGGTTGAAGACAGCAATTTCTTTCTTGTATCAATTCTCATAAATTTGAAAAGGAATTAAAATATTGAACAAATTGTTTGCAATCAATTAAGCTTGTAATTCAGTTGTTCTTCCCAAGATCTGATTTTTAACTCTCCCCTCTAGCCAGGACACACATCTTTTTAGGTACACAATTGATGATAGATTTGGCTTCTTTTTTTGTAAACTTCAGGTGTAGAATCTCTACCTGATGACATGCAAAGGAACATTTCTCAGATGAGAGAGCTGGACCTTCATTATCAGGGTTTGTTAGCAGCATCAGATTTGAACCAGATGATCTAAATACTTCTGCATTAAGTTTTCCTTAAGTTTGAAACATTTTTAGATTTCAAAGTACTATGTTTGTATGGTTTCAGAGAGGCTTAAAGAAATCGAGCGGCTCATCAATAATTACTTCAAAGAAAAAGAGCCAGCGGCCAGGCGAAAATGCTTGATTCAAATTCAAAGACGACTAATAAGAAGTCAAGATTATGGGGATGATAAGTTACAGCTGGTTGGAAACATGATAGACTTGGTGAGCTGTTACTGACAGACTTACATTTAACAAAATTAATGGTGAACACCATAGCGTGTACTAATGAGTTATGGATGCACCCGGGAGGTTGCTAAGCACGAAAGAAGCGTAAGGGGCACACGAGGCGATAGACAAGTGCAACTCTAGCTTCTTGAGTGCTTAGCAACCCTCCCAGGTGCATCCATCAGTCAATAGTACACACTATGGTGTTCACCATTTGTTTTATAACATAACATTGATACATTGGAACAAGGGTTCCCTTTTATTTAACAAATCTTACATGATCAGAAAAAACAAGCGCGTGTGGAAAAATAGCCTTAGCATTTGCTCACGTCAGCAGCATGCACCCATGGGCAAATAGTAGATGCTGAATTAACCAATCAGAGTGGGCGCTTTGCTTTAGTTATGTTATAATAAGTGTTTGCCTTTCAACCCTGTACACCCTAACATCAGTACGCATATTCTCCATACTGTTCTCTATGCATTTCCTAAGGTGCTCACAGGGAGAATTTGCTAAACAATCAAGAGCTGTAGTTGTTGACCTTAATGAGTGATTCAGGGGTGATATTGTAAGGAGAAATTAGAAGCCAGTTACTCTTTGGGTTAATAGATTAATACAAGCAGAGAAAGCTGAGCATTCCACAGTCCCTTGTAAATGATCCACTGTCCAGGGTTTTCAATTGAACCTGTAACACCTGTCATGGGTGTCACTAGTAAGTGTTATGGCTGTCAAAGCGCTTGGACTAGTAGATCAACACCTATTAAATGCAAATAAAAGAACACCTTTGTGCTGAGATAATTGAGTTTAGTATTGAATGTTAGTCGGTTTTAGTTTTCGAAAAGAATAGCCTGTCAGCGAACAATCACTACGCTTTATCACTTCTCGGCAACATTGTAGATTCTAGCCCAGGCCTCTCCAAGATGTCGTCTTGCCTATGGGCCTAAGATAGGTGGAATTCAACTATGTACTTAGTTGTTACGCATGAAGGTGGCACAGCAACGGCTGGCGGTCCCCCATAAATGTCTCACTATCATTATTTCCATGTTTTTGAAGTTAAAATGTGGGTGATTTATTTTCAAATTTAGCTAATACACTATTCTGTGATAAATCCATGCCACATTCTGCCTCTTGAGACAGACAATTTCTCTCCATCATGAATCATCAACTGTTAACATTAATTTTATCAACATAAACTGGTCAATTTGGAGTCGGAAAGTTTTGATCTGTAAGAAGGTCTAAAATGTTACATTCAAATGGGAAGAATGCCTGGCCATGTTTAGGTTAAAAGACCATCTTTGGAGAATTTACTGTTATGTCACAATATCACCTTTTGGCAGATATTTTTAGTCTATTCTTATTGCATTTGTGGATAAATGTCTTTTTTAAGTGAAGAAGTTACTTTTTAAACAACTTGTTATTTGAATTTTGTGAATCATATATGTGCAGGTGGATACTCGTACTCGACAAATTGAAGTAGATGTGGAAAACCTGGACACATACAGAAATGATGACATGCCACCTCTCCTAAAACCCGATGTTCAGCCAGGTACTGTTATATTACTGTCATCTCAGCTTTTCTGAATTTGCAACTCTTTACTAGAATTTTATCCTATTAAGTCATCTATCTTTAGCTGGATGGAAATCCTTAACTTAACTCTTTAATTCCAATGAGTGACCAAGACAGAATTTCTCATTACAATATCAAGCAGACAATAAGTATTGTAATTAGTGTAATTTGTATGTTAATATGTAATTTAATGTGTCAATCCACTGCTTGCCTCGAGTAGCTGTAGCTAACTGCGAGCAGTGGTACACCATATTTTGTATTTTGTCAATTTTTCTTAATAATAAACTCGAAAACTCTAAACTCTCTATAAGGGGATTATATGTTGATCCAAGACCAAATTCTCCAAATTAACATCATAACAATTGTATATCAGACAGCAAGGAGAATTACTAAATGTGAGATCTTGGGAGTGAAAAGGTTTATTTTTTTATTTAACCCCTATCAACTCATCTATCTATATCTAGTTAAATAACATGATGAACATAGTACACGTTGTAACCGCTGAATTGATGGGTAAATTTTAAAGTCTTTTAATCCAGGTTCATTGCTATAAACGGCATACAAGTATGTTTCTGAAAGTAGAATTACACACAATCGAAACTTGCAAATGCGAAGCAAATAAAGGCAAAATGAAAGTATACAAAGCCCAAATAAACCGAAGTAATGAACACTTACAAACAATCTGAGGGTTCCTTCTCAAAATAACTGAAAAATGTTCGTCAAAATCGATAGGATGAAAACGATTCACATTCACAATCTTCAGAACAAAATCATCATCATACACATGGCCGGACAAGATCACTCACTTGGCCTGGTAACAACTAAGAGTTGGGTCATGTTATAATCATGAAATGTCCATTTCGAACCTACACATGTAGTCTGATTGGCCAGTTCAGTTCCCAAGCAGATGCTTTAGCAGGTTTTATATGGAGCCTGCATGTAACTAATTATGTTAAAAAAGCAATAGAACACATTTTTCCGGGTTCTTTCATGTGGTAAAGCCACTTAGGGTGTTGGGAGAATGCTCGTAAAGCTTATTAATTACTCACCTTGGCTTGTGATTTCTAAGCTTTCCTTGTGTTCTCCCAACATGCTTTGTGGCTTTATCATATTATAGAGCCGAGAAAAATGTGTTCTTTTGCTTATTAACTAGAAAATATGAACTTAGGAGAGGTGAAGTTCAAAACTTTCACCATAGCCAAGGGTAATGAAGTTTTGCAATTAAGGTTCTTGACATCACCCATTTAATTTGTTTTCTCTTTCTCTCAGCCATTTTAGAGGAGCACCATTCAAAACCTGAGAAGACAAAAAGTAAGGAAATGTAAAGAATTTTATAGACACTACTGAAAAGAGAGCTTTGCTAACTGACTTCCTTTCATTTGATTATCTTTTTTCTGTAGGAAATCGGCGGCAGCGCAACCATGACAAACATGAGCGTGACTCAGAGGGGAGGGGTGGATCAAGTGGGGCAGGAGGTTCAGAAGTGGTCAAGCCAGTCAAGAAAAAGGCAAAGACCAATAGAAAGTGAGTTGCTTTGTGCATCATATTTTTGTGACTTTAAGTTAAGAATGAAGGAATTCTAGATCTATACTTAGTTTTCGATGTGTGCTAACTCCCTTACAATGGCCCATTTCCAAATTACTTTCAGCCTCTTTTTCAAAGCGAGTCCTGGTGCTCATCCTTTCTTACAAAAATTAATTTTCATTTACATGGAAATTAAGATAATTTTCGCAAGAATAGTTGAGCATGGGACCTTGTTTAGAAAAAGAGGCTAAAGGTAGTTCGGAAATGGCCTATTCTGACAACCAACTAATCAACATTCTTGATGCACACTCAGTTGTGAAAATATCTGAGAGATGTAGTGATATCAATCTTGTGAGTGATTATAAATATTTGACATTAAACATTGGGGAACAGTAATGGGAATTTAACAGTGGAAATTCCTGTACACGGCTCTTCTTGTCTGCTGTTTCAAGGTTGAATTGAAATTTGAAATGTTTGTTTTTGTGGAGGGAGGAAAACCAGAGAACAAACAACAAACAACAACACACTCGACCCACATGTGATTTCAGGTCTGGGAATGAACCTTGGGCCATAGCAGTGGGAGGTAAGTGCCATGTCCACTTCCCAATCTTAATATTAAACTAAAATCAACACAATGTTCTAAAATTTAGGGGCAAGTCAAAGAATCAAGACTCACCCACACCAGAGTATCCAATTGATCCAAATGAGCCAACATACTGCTTGTGTAATCAGGTATGAGATTCTTTGTTAACCTTTACAACCTAACATCAGTATGCATATTCTCGATACTTTTCTCTATACATTAATTTTCCTAAGGTGCTGACAATGAGAGTTTGTCTAACAGTCAAGAGCTTGTTTAGTCGGTGATCATTTCCTTTATTCTCCTGACCTTAATGTGTGATTCAGGGGTGATATTGTAAGGAGAAATTAGATGCTTGTCACTCATACTCAAAAGGTTCATTTGTGTGAGGATCGTGCACAAATACGTTTCTATAACTGCAGTTCAGATATATGAATTTCATATATTGGTTATGTTTGATTTATCATCTTATGGGTTTATGTCGGACTTATTTGATGACCTGCTCCCAGTTGGCTTGTTAGCTCAATTGGTAGAGCGCTGCACTAGTATCACAGAGGTCAGTGGTTCAAATCCCATACAGGCCTGAATTTTTTCAGGTCTGATTTTCACTATTGCTTATATAGTGTTCTTTACTGTGAGGATCGTGCACAAATACTGCCATGTATTTTGAATGCACTTTGTTTGAAGTGCTAACTGGTGGGGTCATGAAAATGAGTGTCAGTACCATTAGTGTTTACCAGGCATCAAGGGCGTGTCGGAAATGCTACTTCTGACAATATACTCACGACTCACTTTCAATTGAATAAACTGAACAACTTTATTCCGACTTCTCTAAGTTTTCCAACTCTCTCCCTCCATGTGCTTTTTTTTTCTTATCCCATAATGTTTTTCTTTCGTTCCCAGCCTCCACCGTTATGCTAGCGAGGGATGCCTGACTAATCTTATGATTAAGCATAAACAAACAAATCAATACGGCTTAAACTTAACATAATCTCAACAGGCGTGTAGATTGTGGGAAGTACACACCCTTCCCCCTTTTTAACCCTTGAACTCCTGTGAGTGATCAAGACAGAGTTTCTCCTTACAATATCAATACAATATCAAGCAGACAAGTGATGATAATAAAGAAAAATATCAATTAGAGGATTATTAATTGATCCAATGCTGAATTCTCCAAAGTGGCGTCATGAGAATGTGGTGCAGAGAGTAAGGAGAATTACTATCAAGATCTTGAGAGAAATTAAAATGACATTTCTTTCTGTACAGGTTTCATTTGGAGAAATGATTGGATGTGATAATGAAGAGGTAAACTTCAACTTCTACTAAAAGCAATCTGTTTGATATCTTTGTTAAATTTGATTTTAAAAGAAATTTGATGAAATGGTGGAAGGAATTAGAATCACCAGCTTTTGAATTTTATCTCAGTCACAATATGGACTGCAAATACATGTGGATCGTCAGCGGGAGTGAGTGAAAACATCTTGGGCTTACGAGGAAGATGCCTTCAAGTTTATCAAAGAAACCTACTATTTATTAATCATTTACTCCTGTTTTTCAACAGTGTCCCATAGAATGGTTTCATTTTCAGTGCGTGGGACTCACAACCAAACCGAAAGGAAAGTGGTAAGGTTGTCTTTAGTACCGCAGAATCTCCGCCGTTGTAGCTTAAGATGGATGGGTTGGGGCCTCTACACTACTCTGCACGCTCGTTGTTGCTGATGCTCACGTCCTATTAAACGTGATCATGTTTCCACCAAGAGCGTAGCTCCATCTTTCTGTATAAGAAACACACACAACCTACAATTCCTCTATTCGCTCTGACGAAGGACCTACCCTTATTTCTTTGCAGGTACTGCCCCAAGTGCACAAACGAACGGAAGAGAGAGAGAAACTGTCTGAGATGATCGTCTGGACTGACTTAGCGAATACTGCAGAATTTGAACTTTTTATTTGACTATTTGAGAAACCCCTTGAAGAATAATCTTCTCTAAGCTATCAGCTCTAATGCTGTAATAAGGAAAACTTCTTTATGTCAGGCAAAAATTTAGATGTTTTCGATAGTCAAGGATGTTAGTTTATTTTGGATAACTAAATCACACTGTAATAGAATTGCATACAGCTCTTTGGTTTTAGTTAGCGCTATTTGTATCCAGATTTCTGTATTATTTATTTAACGTCTACTTGCACTTGTTTTAACACTATGAAACTACACGTAGATACATTTGTAGCTTATAAGTACTGTAAGATATGGTTTCCATCGAAAAATGTCCATGTCTTTGCGTTAATGGCATGTTTGGAACCGGAAAAGTTGAAATCCAGTGCGTGTGCAACCTTGCGGTGAGCGCGGGAAAACAGGTCACAAGAGGAAAGCTCGAGAAAAATAGGCCGCTGATGGCAAGCGTTGGAAAACAAGGGCACCAGGGCACCATTTGCTGAGCTAATTACAGAAAAAACAAAACGGCTACTCGGTTGGTGTTGTTTCTTGCAAAAACTGATATCTTAAATTATAAAGTTAGTGTTGTGCGACTTGTGTTAGGGTCGAGCATTGATTAAGGAAGAAGCGTAGTTTTTGGCGAATATTCCTTTCATAAAGCTATCGTGAGTTTCAAAGCCGTGAAGACCACTTCCATTCTTGAGTCGAGACCCCTCACTTTTGATCACGTGAAGTGACAGCATCAGAGTCAAACCAACCAGCCCTAGTCTTTTTGTTCTCCGTTCTTCTTCGCTTACACCTCCTAACTGAATGGAGGCAGTAGAAGCGTTTTATGCTTGCATGGTGCCCGTACTTTTTCTTTTGTATCAGAAAGCATATATCAGTATTGTTTATTGTATAAATTATAGGTTGTCTAACTCTTGTAATGTTCAGAAAGTGAAATATAACATGTGCTTCAGTGAAATGTTTCATTTTCTCTCTGCGTTAAAAGTGAATTACTTGCCTTTAGACAAGATAGAGAGAATCTCTTTTTTTTTCTCTCTTGTTTAATCACTTTGACTGTTTTTTAACCAGTTCGAGAGTAGCTAATTGTCACAACCATATTAAATTTAATTAGTCTTGTTCAGTTAAGGGGAGGTGTTACTTGTATTACACTCAACACGAGCGTTTAGTGCCTGCAGTGAAAGTGAGAAATGTTTTTTGTGACTTTAATCAGTACACAAAATATGATAAACATTCACAAATTAGCCAATTCACCGGAGTGTTCGATGGTAATTGAGGTTAAGGTAAGTTGTTTAAGTTGTCTAAAAGGCACCTGGAGTAGACAACAAACTTTGTCACGATACTTTAAAGAAGAGGATTAATCGAGTTTCGAGGTATGCGATTTACTCATTGTTTTCTTTCATTTGTTTGTTTTTTTTTTATCTCCTTTTTTCGGTGGTCTCTCGTCGAGCCACCGGGAAATGATTTTTAGGCAGGTGTTAAAAAATGAAGTTACGTATACAATGAACGAGATGTGTTCACAATTAATAACGCGAATGGACCTCATTACATGAGTTGATTGATGTCTTGGAACGCTTTTTGAAGCACCATTTCGACTTACTATATAGAGTGACGAAAGATTTTAATGGCTTTTGAAGAATCAACACTAAAAATCCGCAATATTGTTCAAGGTGTGTTTCATGGACTTCATAACCACTCGTAGTCGGATGCAAAAACCTCAAAAGCAACTTAAGTGTTCTATCCGCTATTGTTTTCAGCAGTTTTCGGGTCTAAAGCTTTAACAGTAAGCAAATTTTATTTTTCTGTTAGTTTACTTTTTCTGGGCAGGTATACCATTAGCTGTGTTTTTCCCTTGCGTGGAAAGCTACTAGTTTTGATGGCAATTTGAAACCTAGCCCGTGCGAGTTTTAGGCGCAAAGACCGTCATCATTGACCATCAATTGAGTTCTGTATGGCACACATAATGCTCCCGTTTTGATAACATGGTCGATATATATATATACATAGACAAAAAACATTATATTTCCACAGGCATATTAAGGGACGATGTCTCGTCAGGGGAAGTTTCTCTTTTTGTTTTTCTTGGAATTACAAAAGTTTGTTTTACCTGCTGTTTCAGGAAATTTGGGTGAGTGCAATTGACAATAACAACAATAACTCTACAACATGATTAACGAAACGACCTTTGAAGATACAGAGAACATCACAAAATACTCCATATGTGGATGAGTAGCTGTGTGTTTTTAAATAGACTGAAGACACGCGCTTAATTTTTTCCCGCGATATTTACATGGAGTTTCGTTGAACTTTCTCGCACACGTATTTTCACGCTAATTCATGTACCGGGGAATCTTAGAATTTTATCAACCATTAAAAGGGCTTTAAATTAATAAATAACACAAAATACTTAAACATCATCGATTTATGAACTAAATATGTTCTCAGGTCAGTTATTTTGACCATGACTTAGCTTTGTACCTTGTAAAGCTACATTAAATTTTTGTTTTCGTTTCATGATCGGCAATAACCAAGTATTAACGGCGAACTTGGAGCCGTTGATCAAGACAGAATTATATTGATCGGTCTGTGCACTTTCTTTTGGTTAAATTTGGAGATTTCTTAAATTCTAGGCCCCATTCAGAAATCAGGTTTGCGCACATGTGATCAATATAAAATATTCGTTTCTTCGAAGCTACTTTACTTAGACTTAAGGCGCATACCATTTGTCAGAGCTGGCTGACCATCCAAAACTATTCACCATTTTCATGTAAGAGAATTTCGCTGTATGATAAGAACTGTTCAACTAGATAAACCATTCTCGTAAATTTTGTCTGGCGTTTCAGTGTTGGACTTTTGTGGAAATTAAGAAAATGTGTGAAAAATATGGAGGGCTTAATTCAGTAAATTGGAAAATAAAATAGACGTTTATTCAGATGCAACTGAATAGATGTAACAGTTAATTACAAACATAAAGTAAAACAGGAATGAATCCATTGTTTACAAAAAGAGATGAAATAAATCGACTAAAGAAGCTCGGTCCGTAAAAACACATGATATAACGTACTCCGTCGCCAACCATCTTCACCTTTGGTCAAAAAGGACCTTGAGCAAAAAAAAACCACGGCGACAGAAACGAGAACGTAGTAAAGCAAAATGGTTAAAGGGCACAGCAGCTGTTCAGCACGTACGTTTTAAAACTTTGTTCATTTCTCATCCGTGCTCGGCAAAAATCATCAAAATTTGCTTGGTCAGAGAATAAAAATCTCCGACGTTATTCACTTACATTAAACAGAGGTTGAGGTTTAGTGCCGCTAGAGTAACACATTCAGCCATTTGTGAAAATTTTAAGAAATAGATGAATTAAGTTTTCGTCAGTGTTGCTGTCCTGGGCCGGTTTCTATATTTCTCTGTTCAAAAGCCGTTTTGGGATAATTTTCCCAATTCTTTTAAGAGAATTCAATCATCAAATTGTAGGCAAATGCAATTAAACTGAATTTTCTTCTAAAGCTTTCAGATCTGAAATCAAATTTCACACTAACCCTAGGTTATCTTAACCCGTCTTTGAACAACTCGGCCCTGGATTAAAATTAACCCTAGGTTAGCACTAATCTGCCTTTGAACCACTGGACCCTGCAGACTACTTATCACCTGGTGGGGGAGGGGGGTCGGGGTCAGAGGATTTTGTTTGTGACACTTGAAAATTTGGGTTAGGAGAATGGTAGGTGTGCGATTCCTCAGATGCTCAAATTGATCCTCTTTATTAGCATGTTTTCCACCACAATAAAAACAAAGAGGGAAACAGTCATGTAGGCAAATATACAGAAATTCGAAACTTAACAAGCCTTTGATTTTAGCTCCCAGTGCTCCTCCAATCAACCTCAGAGTAACAAACCTAAGCTCCACCTACTTCGAAATTACATGGGACCCAATCCCCTCAGAGTATATTAACGCGGCCACCCTTCTTGGTTATGAGGTGTTCTGGGAAATTGGAAAGGAGCATTAACTCTACAGTCAACCTGACCAAGACAAGACAAACAAAAGTTTGGTTGACAGATTTGGAGGGAGACACCGACTATAATGTCATCACTGAGTGCTTTTAATCGAATTGGCAGTGGACCAAACAGTTCGTTGGTTACTTTCAGGACAGACAAAGGTCCAAGTGCCCCCTGTGCCCCGCCAACCAACCTCAGAGTGACAAACCTAAGTTCCACCTACTCCGAAATCACATGGGACCCAATCCCCTCGCAAAATATTAACGCAGCCACACTTCTTGGCTATGAGGTATTCTGGGAAAAAGTCCTTAACTCTACAGTCAACGTGACCAGGGCAATACAAACAACAGTTTGGTTGACAGAACTGGAAGAAGACACCGACTACAATGTTATCATCAGTGCTTTTAATCGAATTGGCGGTGGACCAAACAGCTCATTGTTTACTTTCAGGATAGAAAAAGGTCAGTGACGGATTTTGAGCGCACAATTTTTATTTCACACCACCTGTTACTCAAAAATAATGTGTCAAACGCAAGCGTCTCCCTAACAGGCTCTCTTAGGGATCGGAGCTACCATAAAAAGTCTTTCAAATCTGAAATAAGATGATTACTGCAAATATGATGTAATTCAGGATTCTCTTATGGACTTTATTAGATTTTGAAGACTGTCCCGCCTAGATTAACATCAGCTAGCTTTGGACCAGACTAATTGCAGCTTTTATTTCAGGAGTGAGGAAATTATAGAAATTCTTGTTGTTTGTGATTTGTGCTTTTAAAGTGGGGATTTTTTAGTGAAATAAGATTTTCCGCCGTGAGTATAAATTCCGTCATTTTCTATTTTTCTTTCTTAAATTTTTCTTTTCTTCACAAGTCATTCCCAGTGCTATTGCGAACAGTAGCAGGTTAAACACAACAGTCAACAGTACCACCTTATCAACTGGAAACTCGACGAGCAATGGAAGTAAGTAAATTGTTTGGTCTTATGTTAAAAACGAGGACAGCGGTACGAAATTTGAACTGTGAATACGCGTCTGAAAGGGAGATACAGTTGTTGGATGCTTCTATTGTGGTCTGGGAACAGGTTTCATTTTTGCTCCACCGTCCTAGCTGATTAAAATCGTGCCATTACGCGTGCGCATGACGTTACACTAAATCCACGAAGAGTAATGGGCATTGGAAATTTGTTGTCCCCTAATGTCAAAAGTAAGCGTAATGTTAACAAACAGAAAAAGAATGAATAAACGGCAGAATCACCGTAATGTAAGTAACAGTCAGTTCTATGAGTAACACCAACATTGCAAGTAATAGGGTAATCATTAAAACTGATAAACGAATACAGGTGCCATCTTGAGATAATTTGAAACTGAGTTGCTCTCTTTTTAGCTGCAGTCAACGGCGCGACCTCACTTGTTGCAAACTCATCTGTCAATGGAAGTAAGCAAATCTTACAAGTGCTCTGATCTATTAGCCACTTCACTGTAAGATAAAAATTGCTGTATTATATATGGTGTAACAATCTAGAGATAATTTAAACGTAAGTTGCTTTCTTTTTAGCTGCAATCAACGGCACTGACTTCACTTGTAATGGTTTTCCACTGATCAGAAGAGGAGGCTCTGAAACATTAAGAAAAGCAGAGAAAAGTGGAAGCGTCTACACATGATGGAGGATTTTTCCGTTTTTGATGCTATTCTTTGTAACCTTTAAGAATGGCGGCTGCGTCTGTCTGATATTTACCACGATTATCTTTCTCCTATTTTGCATGTTTAGACAACAGTTAAAATATTAAAGGATTCAAATATATTGTTTCTTTTCTGACTACTTTATTCTGAAAAATGCTATGTCAATGAATTGTTTTTTTAAATCTCCTGACCTTCTTGGCTAAGTATTCCAAAGCAAAGAAAGACGAAACTCAAGACAATGGAAAGGGGAAAACGCGGGCCATGGCTGAATAACTATACTTGTAGATATCCGGGTAAGGTTAGAAAACATTTGCCTTTCCCTGAGGACCTTAAATAATTATGTGCTTACACGTGGCTTTCAGAGAGTACACCGACCAGCGGATAATGCAATGATAAAATTATGATAAAGAGTTCAAGAGGATGGACGATGTACCCTTCACCATGTCTCTCGGTTCGGTGCACAAGTTAATTAAACTGCTGTATGAGATCATTTACTTGTTACTATTGCAACAGATCTTTTTGACCTACGCAGACTCAAAGCAAAAACCAAAATTCTTACAGAATTTATTAGAGAAGCTCAGTATGCTGACGACATTGCTATTTTTAGTGACACGCCAGAGGGTCTGCAATCGCTTTTGACCTCCTACAGTGTTGTTGCTAAGAGGACGGGCCTGTGCATCAACACGGTTAAAACAGAAACTCTGTGTATTGGTAACACAGCTGAGTTCTTCGTAGATGGCACTAAATTAGCTAACGTCGACCTCTTCAAGTACCTTGGCAGCTATGTCAGCAGTGACTGCTCTATGAATGAGGAACTTGTATCTCGTATTCAAGCAACGTCATGTGCATTTGGTCGACTACGTAAAAGAGTGTTCGACTCGCATAATCTAACAGCTCCAACTAAAGTTGCTGTGTACAACCAATGCCTAATGCCCCTTCTGATGTATGGTAGTGAAACCTGGACTCTATATCAACATGAAGTCAGGCAGCTCGGCACAATACAACAGCGTCATCTACGTCTTATCTTAAACATCAAATGGGACGATTACATCAGCAATGAAGAAGTGTTGCCGACGCGCGGGCATTGAAGACATTGAGGTGATGTTGGCACGGACTCGCCTGCGCTGGTTAGGACACGTTAGTCGAATGGACAATGATAGGCCGGTAAAGCAGCTCCTGTACTGTGAATTGGCCCATGGTTCTCGCCCAGTAGGCCGACCCAAGCTTCGTTTCAAGGACACCTGCAAAAGGGCATTGAAGTGTGGCCACATCTTAGATCAGTGGCTTTCAACCGTGAACAACAGAGCCGAATGGAAGAGGCTCACTAGGGTAGTCTGTGACGCATACAACTCTAAGATGGTCCAGGAATATGTAAAGAGAAGAGTTCGTCATAGAGCTGAACTGAGGAAAATTGTGGACATACCCATCTTCGGGCCGGCTATAGGCATAGATATTGCAACCGGTGATATCAAGAGCGTACACCTACACATTTACGTGACTAGAAAGTTGTGGAGCATATTCAGAGATTTTTTTTCTTGTAATCGACTTTTTTTAATTCTAGGCGAAGAGGTTATTCTCTCTTGGTCTAGGCCTGTTCCAAAGGAAATGAACGTAATTCGTTGATCTACTTTTTTGATTTGTAAGTGGTGTCTTTGTTTTGATCGGCAGAATGTGAAATTATCAACTTATCTAGAACGCGTCCCCTTAAAAATTTTAGACACTTGGTAAAATTGATTTTTCAAAAAAAGTCTTAAATGAGACAGAGATGTAGTTATTTTTTCCACAAAGATACATACACATACATAGGTTAATTGACCACTCCCCATATGGGCTTTTCAGGGCCAATTCCCACCTATCCCACCCAGGGGAGGACATCCACCACACAGCAGTCTCGTGCGTGGGAAATTAACGTTTCCTACCCCTAACCCTGCAGGAGACGGGGCCTACGGTTTATTCGTCCTTATCCGAGAAGACTAGAATATCTATCCATTTCTTGATTATAGAGAGGTAGCAGAAAGATGGTTTTATGTTCACTTTCTATTCGGTTTATCAACGTTTCTGTTGTCATGCAGCCGCAATAGTTCTTTCTTTTAAGACATTTCCCTAGCAAGCTATTTTTTGTTCTCGAGATGTATTTTGAAGGAAAATTTGTACTTCGTGCGCACATAACGTAGAAGCTAGAACCAACATAATAATTATAAGCATATTATTTTGAAATCTGAGAATCACTAGTATGAGTAGAAGCAATGAACTCGAATCACGTTCCCATCTTCTTCCAGCGTAAATCTAAGCTTAACCGATTAGGTTCGAATAGAAACTATGAGCAAAATACTTTTATTAGCAAGATCAACCCTCATAAATCATTACTGATTTTATCTTCCAGTGTCAGTGATATCTAAGAACAATTTTTTTCAGTGTTATTTTGTCGGTGGTGGTCTTGGTTGTTTTTTCACAAAATTTAGGTGACGTCGAAGCAAACACCTCGTTAGTGTCATTTAACCTCCATTTATTACACTAAGAGTGGAATAAATCACAATATTTCAGCCATGTAGCGATATTTAAGTCAAAACGGGAATGTAAGTTTAAGTCAAAACACTGAGGAATGTAATTCTACGGAATGATCTTAACTTGATATAACTTGCCCAAACAGGCTCTTTTAGGATATTGCACCGTTTCTCACTTCATATTGCATGGTAATACATCCACTTCAGTGGAACCTTCCCTTCTCCAAACTTTATTCATTTTACTCAAGATCAGACTTAACTTAAGGAAAAAGGAATGGAGGTGGTTGGTACAAGTACCTGTCAGTAACAATCATTATTCAACCTAGGTAAAGAGTTAATTGGTAAGGTACCGAGAACTAAGCCCATTAAATGCTGTTGAGAAATAAAACATCATGATGATAATTCCAGAACTGCTATACTGTCCCTTCTTTCGTACTCATGCATATAGCCAACGTCTCCAGGTTGAAAGGAAGTCATATTTTTTAATTATAGTGGCTCCCCAAAATTTCTTATGTCAGTCGATGTTGAGTTTATTTGGTTTGGCGAAGGTGGATTTCTTGAAACTGTCATAGGTGCCTGTGTCCTCAACGACCTTTATTTCTCTCGGGAAACAGGTTCATACATTGCACCGTTTTCAAAGCCAAATTGGTGATTGACTATTGCAGTCATCACCTCATGTGTATTTGTTACAGAACCATCAGTCGACTGGGAAACGAGTTGAGAGGACGAATATATTTTTAAAAAGTACGCCATGGCTAAGTTATGTTTTACATTAGCTTCGGCTTCCATCTTACTTTTAACACAGGTTTTTGCCAAAGGTAAATAAAATTAATACTTATAATAAACAATTTCTTCTATAAAATTGTTCTTAGAAACTGTAAAGTTCATTATACACTATTACTACGGTGGTTTCCCTTTCTACCGTGACTGATCTAAGAAAATGAGGTCTGAATTATTGGTTTTCCAGAAATCGATCAGTATTCCTTTTGTGGCTGAACATGGCATTGTTTCCAATATATTCACATAATTTGGCATCCATCGACGCATAATTTAAATCAAAACTGCACATCACGGAGGCCTCGAGTAACTTTTTTCTTTGAAAATAGAGCATTTTATTGTTTGAATCAGCGACTTATGCCGAAAAAAGCCGCTAAATTTGCGAGGCGAGCAAAGCTGAGAAATACGATACCCTGAGTTATTCAATAGATCAGTGACATGGTGGAACGGGGGATCGGCGGAATGGCGTCTAAAACCACCGTCGCAAACCAGTTTTTTTCTCACTTTTCTTTTAATTGAAATACGGTTCGAACTTGACTCTATCTATTTTGATGATGTGGAACATTGAGTTTCTAGCAGTAATGGAATAAAATGCGAAATATTTTTATTTCTCCATTATTACCTTTATAGACCACTTTCATAAATGGCTGCCGGATTAATATTCTTTTCTTTAAATTTAAATTAGCCCTACTGGCCTCGTTCTCCAGTACAAAATTCAAAAGAATACATTATCTCAAGCGAGGCCAGTAGGGCTAATTTAAATTTAAACAAAAGAATATTTATACGGCAGCCATTTATGAAAGTGGTCTATTCTTCTCAGCCATATTTAATCCGCATTTCCGAACTTAGCGCATCCTCGCAGCCATTTTGACAGCCATCTTGGTTGCTCTTAACTGTTGTCTCCTCAAACCTCAATGTATAGTGTCACCACGGTGGAAGCACCTCTGCGTTTGGGCTCACGGTAGGGCCTCCAGCTCGCTGGGTAAGCGGGCAAGCGTTTATGTTATGAAATTTCTGCAACTTCAACTGAAATTATTCTGAATCATTTAAATATCTTCTATCCATAGAAAGTAAACTATGTTTCCAAAGTTCCTGTTACTTTATTTCCGATGCGGAATCAGGCGGGACATGGTCCGACAACCGAAAAACCTGTCAAGGGAAGGGTGGCGACCTCGTCTCCATAGAAACTGAAGCTGAATGGAACTTCCTCAAGGACCAAATCCAAAAGCGTTGTATCGGGCAGCCTAACGAATGGCATATAGGTCTGCATAAAGTTAACAGGGATTGGAAGTGGGTGAGTGGAAGCAAGCTTAGCATTAAGAAATGGCAGACGACTGTTGGCGCGCCATCTGGTGATGGAGATAAAGCGGTGATGTCAAAGGATTACCCACCGGACAAACAAGGGCTGTTTAATGATCTTCCAAACCGACAAAAAAGGGCTTATATTTGTGAAATGCCTAAAGGTAATGTCCAAAACGCATGGTAGCTGAAAACTTTAACTCGCAGAATTACTGAATACTTGATCAGTCTAAATTTTATTTCGGAGTTGATTCTTGTTTCCTCATGAGGTTAACAGGGTTACTCTTAGGGAGATAAAGAGAAAAAAAGACACAGCCCTGAGCGTGGGGCCTTGGCTAAACGGATCGATCCTAAAAAAACTGTTTAAAATTACTTATAGGCTGGAAGATGAAATGGAGTGAAGAAAGGAATCAGTTAAATTTTCAATTTAACTGATAGAGAAGATTCACTTCAATCTTCTCTATGACTGGATGAAGCATATTCAAAACGAAGCTGAAATTTATACTGTAATAATTTCAAAGCAATATTTTTTTCTCCTCTGCCAGGTTATATATTGTCTGCAAATTGTCGTGCATAGTGTCTTTTTGTATTACAGTCGAGCGAACAATTTCTGTTTATAAAAAAATAGTTCTTAAATCACCTGCTCCGCAGAATGGAATTCTGCTTCAATGCTATTTTTAAAATTTCCAATCATAGATACCAACTTTTTTTTCCTCTTTCAGATTCTTCATGAAGTCAGGAAAAAGTCAGTTAAAAAAAACAACAACAACAACAAAAGACAAAAGCACAGAGAAGGACTTCAGTTCCATATCAAGAAAAGCGGATCAACTTTGATAACAAAAGGCTTTGTTCTTAGATAAAATAATAACCTTATATGGTCATATGGCCATTTTTGGAACACTACTGGCGACAGGTTCAAAATAAGGATAGATAGATAGACTGGTTTATTAAAATCATATCGCAGTAAAATACTGAATTGCGCAATTTTTACAAGCTAATACTATACAAATATAAAATATGATGACTTAAAGTTCTATTAAACGTTCTATTACATCTCAACTTGGGTTGGTTTCAGCCGCACCCTTCACGAAAAACGAATTAGCAAAACGCTTTGTCTTGGCTGCTGGTACATTGTATGTTCATTGGCGCCTTAATTATAATGAGGGCTATGGGCTTCAGGAATTCAGTAATGTAGTTTACTGTTCTGATTCTCGCTGATTGATCTAAATAAAGACTTTGTAATGTCTTCGTGATGTTCCCTGATAGAAGTCAAATAGGCGCGCTCTAACGCTTCCCCGTACGGCATTCTAGAAAAAAGACATGCCAGAGCTCTTTTCTGAACTCTTTCTAACTCTGACTGTAAGTACTGAGGTAGAGAATAATGGAACACAGGGCGGAACGCGGAACTTTCGAAATTTCCGATTAGCATGCGAGTGGCTATTTTAAATCATGATCAGGAAAAACCGAAGAAAAGACAAATTCTCTCCGAGGGAGGATATGCTGGTAGAGTTCTTTCGAAGCAAAAAGTTACGCAGCGGTGGCTGGTGGGGATAACGGTTGTTATAAAAAAAATTAAAAGCTGCAGTTCACGACGAGTATGACATTGGCATTGCTTGGTTTTACTTTATGCAGTGTGCCTTTTAGCTTCAATCTAAGATCTGTTTTGTTTGTTTCTACTCACTTCATATTTGTCTCATTTTTGAAAGAACAATAAAAGGGGACAAACAAGACCAACAACATTTTGCTTTTGCATTTTTTGACATTGAGGTCTGAGTAAATGCTCGATGGTTGTTTACTTTGGTTGATTTTCTAGTCAATAGCATCGGTCAAAAACTAAAAATACTCAAACATCTAAGGATTTAGGCGCGGCGATTATCTTTCGATACGCTTACAAAAATAATGGAAATGAGAAGCAGGCATCTGGTCGAGGGCTCGGGATATGTCAATTCCACTCGAAATTTTTCATGATAACTGGTCTCACAAACGGAAGTTTTTCCTATGCAAAATAGGAAACTTCAAAAAGCTAGAAAGAAAAGGGCAGACGGTCTTCGGTGAGGGAGATGACGACATCAAGGCTGCCCCACTGACCATTGAAGTAATGACAACGAGTTAAGGACCCGAAATAATTATTAATTTAAAGAAGTGTAGTTTTAAGTGCTTAAGTAGTGTCCATTCCTGCGAAGATCGATGTCACACTAATTTCTTTCACCGCAGTTCATATGTATGATTTTCATAAAATCACAAGCGTTGACTCATTATTTCACGGTTTTTTTTTTTTACGAACTAACACGATAACGAGCTCCAAGTTAGCTTGTTAGCTCAGTTGGTAGAGCACTGCACCGGTATCGCAGACGTCATGGGTTCGAATCTCGAACAGGCCTGAATTTTTTCAGGCCTTATTTTCACTACTGCTTGTGTAGTTTTCATTTGCACTGTTAAGAATGGGATAAGGTTCTTTGCACTGAAGCTTCCGGAGTTCTGGCAATTTTTGAAACAAGTCCAAAGCTTTGTTGCACGTGAAATGACAGGTTAAAAATATTCTTAAGGGATTGTTTGTTTTCTTTTTTTATCTTTTTTATAAAATGTTTTGCCATTTTCTTTTGAAATGTTGAAAAAATCGTTCAATACTTTTCTTCGTATCCCGTCCAGCCCTTCTCAGAAAAATTTAACCCCCGTTTTTGCACAATGTTGGCATTCTTTCTGAACAGCCCCACTAATTTAACTAAAGTTTACATATTTCTTTATGCAAGAAGCCGGCTCAGAAGTAAAAATTTATATTTAAGATAAATCTATTTTTGTTTTCAGCCCCCCGCTTTTAGCAATAGGCAATAGCAATATAAAGGCCGTTTGTCGCAATATTTGAGTGCACGCATCAACAAAACAACTAAATATTTCAAAAAAAGCGACTTTTAGACGTTAAGCTAGCATGATTACCAGGAAAATAGCATCACGAGAAAATTAAAAGCGATGCGAATATTCTCATAAACGAACAATTTGCTATAAATGGAGCGAGAGCCTGTATGTTAAAACTAGTTTAGCTGTCTGTTGGAATTAAATAAACCAATCTCCTTTAGACACCATAAGTAGTTGCACAGTCGCATAGGAACTACAATCTAGGATTAAGGCGTAGTAAATGATTGCTTATACCGTAGTTAGGTAACAGTAGATTGTTCCCATTCATTTTATTTTTCGCACTGAAATGCGTCAACCCTACCCCCACCCTCATACAACCTCATATTGAAATAAGTTTAACATTGTAGACCTAGAGATAGACCATAAGAAAAACATGGGGTCTATCATAAATATCACCATCACCATCGTTATCTTTGTCATCATTGCGCCATTTATGATAATAGACTAACCATTTTCGGCATTAAAACTGAGAAGCTTGTTAACAGTTCAACAGACGTCAAAGTAGACTCTCAAAATGTGTCTGATTCTTGGCTAGGGATGCGAATCTAAGCCACAACTCTTATGGCTACCACATAAATGTGTTATATTGCCTTTGTTCTTTCGCTATATAAATGCGTCATTAGCAGGTAATTAGGGAGTAAATAACCCCTGTAAATTTTTTGTTTGGCAATCCCAGAACGTTTTCGTTTTCGGAGCGTTCGTACTAGCGCCGTGAAGTCATCGCGAAGGTAAAGACTCTCTTGAGACTTCACCTCCCCATATTTTCAAGTATTTCAGCTCCTTAACCCGTTGTCATTACTTCAATCGTCGTTTGGGCACCCCAGGTACACCGCATAAAGTAAAACCAAGCAATGCCAATGTCATACTTGTCGTGACTGAACTGCAGCTTCTAATTTTTTTATAGCAACCGTTATCCCCACCAGCCACCGCAGCGTAACTTTTTGTTTCGAAAGAACTCTACCAGCATACCCTCCCCCGGGGAGAATTTGTCTTTTCTTCTTCAGTCTTTCCGATTATTTAAACTTGCCGCTTGCATGTTAATCGGAAGTTTCGAAAGTTCCGCGCGTATTTTGAACCTGTTGCCACTAGTGTTCCAAAAATGGCCATATGGCCATATAAGGTCATTTTTTTTATCTAAGTACTAAAGCCTTTCGTTATCAAAGTTGATCCGCTTTTCTTGATGTGGAACTAAAGTCCTTCCCCGTGCTTTTGTCTTTTGTTGTTGCTGTTGCTTTTTCTTAACAGTTAATCGCCAGTTTAGCTTTGAAAATGGCGCAATGCATGAACCTGTTACCCGAGAGAAATAAAGCTCATTGATGATGGCACGGGCACCCATGACAGTTCAAGAAAGCCATCTTCGTCAAACCAAATAAACTCAGCATTGACTGACATAAGAATTTTTGTGGAGCCAATATAATCAAAAGATATGACGTCCTTTCAACCTGGAGACGTTCACTTAATGAGTACAAAAGAAAGGACAGTATAGCAGTTCTGGAATTATCATCATGATGCTTTCTTTCTCAACAGCGTTTCATGTGCTTAGTTCTCGGTACCTTACCCATTAACTCTTTTACCTAGGTTGAATTATGGTCGTTAAGTATATGACAGGTACTTGTACCAACTACCTCCATTCCTTTTTCCTTAAGTTAAGTCTGATCTTGAGTAAAATGAATAAAGTTTGGAGAAGGGAAGGATCCACTGAAGTGGATGTATTACCATGCAATATGAAGTGAGAAACGGTGCAATATCCTAAAAGAGCCTGTTTGGCCAAGTTATATCAAGTTAAGATCGGTCCGTAGAATTACATTCCTGTTTTGACTTAAACTTACATTCCCGTTTTGAGTTAAATATCGCTGCATGGCTGAAATATTATGATTTACTCGTAATTCAACTCTTAGTGTAATGAATTGAGGTTAACTGTCACTAACGAGGTGTTGGCTTCGACGTCGCCTAAATTTTGTGAGAAAAGTACTGAGACCACCACAGACAAAATAAGACTGGGAAAATTTTTCTCAGGTATCACTGACACCGGAAGATAAAACCAACAATGATTTATGAGGGTTGACTCTGCTGATAAAAGTACATATTTGCTCATAGCTTCTATTCGAACCAAATCAGTTAGGCGAAGATTACGCTTGAAGATGATAGGAATGTGGTTTGAGTTAATTGCTTCTACCCATATTAGTGATACTAAGATTTCAAAATGATATGCTAATCATTATATGTTAGTTCTAACCTCTATGTTACGTGCACATGAAGCATAAATTTTCCTTTAAATTATAACTCGAGAACAAAAATTGCTTGCTAGGAAAAATGTCGTTAAAAAAAAAAAAAAAAAAAACTATAGCTAAATTGCATGACAACAGACGTTGATAAACCGAACAGAAAGTGAACATAAAATCCACCTTTGTGGAAAAAATAGCCACAACTTTTTAGTCGCATAACTGTGTTGATGTACCCTCTTAATATCACCTGTTGCAATAGTGACAAGTGAATGATCTCATACAGCAGTTTAATTAACTTGTGCACCGAACCGAGAGATGTGGTGAAGTGTATATCGTCCGTCCTCTTGAACTCTTTATCATAATTCTATCATTGCATCATCCGCTGGTGGGTGTACTCTCTGAAAGCCACGTGTAAGCACATAATTATTTAAGGTCCTCAGGGAAAGGCAAATGTTTTCTAACCTTACCCGGATATCTACAATTATACTGGGTTATTCAGCCATGGCCCGCTTTGCCATTGTCTCGAGTTTCGTCTTCCTTTGCTTTGGAATACTTAGCCAAGGTAGGTAACAATTAAAAAAAAAAAAAATTTGTTGGGATAGCATGTAAACTAATTTTGGGACGATACGGAAAAGAGATGGTCTAGACGTTAGGAATGAAACTGGAGAGGATATTCCTTTAGGTAAAGTAGAATCTACTAAAGCAAGAACCAATTATGGCTCTTGACTAAAGCAAATTAACGTTGAAAACACCGACGCATCTGGTGCATTTTAGAAGTACTATCTCGAGGTATTTGGTCGACGTAAATAACTAAACACAAAGGTCTCACACAGCATGAAGTAAACACGGATTCGTACTATTTTTAATTTCTTCGAGACGATTATCTGTTGATTAAGCAATAAAGAAAAAATCCTTCCAACTCAAGGGAAATAAAATACCTTGCATCAAAGATTTGCTATTTTCTTTCGTAAATGTTGAGCGTTTTTCGTAGCAATTAAGACAATTAAACATAACCAGCCTGACGATATTGGCAGCAGGGCCCGCAAACGACTTTTAGATTTTTTAAAAGACTCAATGCTTTGACTGAGGATTTCGAACAAATCAGCAGAGAGACATAATGAAAAAAATTGATCAAAACAAAAATATGCTACATCAGAGCATAAATATTTATGCCTTGACTCCGACTTGTGGGTAATTTTGCTCGTTCGAGTAACTCCTGGGGTATTTCTTACCATGAACATAAAAAACCGTTGGTCCGTTTAAGGAAAAAGTTACCACAACTTCTCCTCTTTAGGACTTCTATTATCAATTAAATCGAAGTCTATTATACCTTCCTTTCAAAACAACACAGTACAAGACAAAAACAAGTATTTCTGACGTGGATGGATACACGACCCTGCTATCTATCATTCTTTCACTTAGTTATATTGGGTTATTGACGGCGAAATGGCCTGAGTCGTGTAAGAACTTATAATAAGATTAGGGGCCACTAATAAAGAAAAAATTTGCAAGGACAAGATTAAGACTCACAGCAAGCCTAAAAACATCATTTCATCGACCTGACCTCGGTGAAAGGTGAGCGAAGTACAGCTACAATGAAATTAACCCACGATCAAAGAACGAACATAAAAGAGTCAAACAGTAATCAGTTCATTTTTCAAGATTTGATCCTCGGGAAAATTGAAACACAAGAACAAAGTGACGTTACATGTATAACTACGAGTCCCATATGACAGAACTCTATCTGAACCATGAAAATTGGGTAATTTCAGGGAGAAATTTTCATGCCCTTGTTAAGTCGAAAGGCAAGTATTACGGTGGATGGAACACGTTCTCTATAGACTGCTTTTTAACTAATTTGTGCTAACTTGTGGTTTCAAGGCCGTTCCAAAATGAGAATGAGGTTAAAAATGAATTATTCGCACCTGCTTTAAAACAGATCAAAGTTCTTATGATAAGATCAACCATTTAAAAAAAAAAAAAAATTAAAATGGAAAAACTTTCCTCGAAACCTTTTAACATAACAGATGATACCCCGCCCGGTTATTAAATCATTGACGGATATAATCTGCTTAGAAGTAAGCTAACCATGAAGTATCAAGCTGAGTAACAGGTTAGCAGGTTCTTTATGCGACCTATGCGAAATATTCCTTGTGTCACCTGTGAGCAGAAACTGTCTGGTAGATGGGCATATATAGATAATCAGTTAATTCCCTTTAGACCAGACTTCTGGGTTCACGTTGGACGTAAGTCAAACAGAAGACCATGGGGCTATGCATCCCAACAGTTTTAGCGGTTTCCATATCCCTTTGTTTTCTAGGAATTACTAAAGGTATGCGAAAATGAACATTTTTAAAGTCAGTTAATATATTACTTAGTTCAAATTTAAACATTGGTGTCATATAGGAATTCTCTAAAAATTTAAATTGATTCTATGCTGTTTTTGAATTGAATGAATACTAAAACCGTTTGAATGGTAAGGTAAGAGTTCCAAACTCAGACAAACTGTTTTGAAGCACTATATACAATTCCTCAGATGAAATGAATCCCAGCGTTTACTTATTGGCTCAGAAGAATTTCTATCAGTCGCGGCCTCTTTGTTAACAGGAAAAAAAAATTAATTTCCTTTCGCAGCTCTTGAGTTTTCTTCTCGTTCTTAATTGACATCACGTTCATTCATTTCGTTAAAAAAGTTCTCCAAAATATTTTTAAAAAGTTGATTTTGAGTATGGTTGTAAATTAGGTGAAATCAGAATAGTTGAATGTCATCTGTTAGCTTTTGTGACTCTGTCAACGACGTTGTCCGAAAGTTACGATCTTTGTATGTCCGTTCCACAAATCTTTTTTCGTTACGGGATCAAAGCGAGCAAGACTACCCCCTCGGGTGGCTAATCATACACATAATTCGCTACATCCTGCTCACGGACGCACTCAAGGAGTCGCGTCAATTTTTCAGTGTCCAATCCCTCTTACAACACATGCAAAGAACAAAGAGCATGACTAGCCACAAGTGTGATGAACGATAATGTTTAGATATACCTACTAATATGAAGAATTTTAGATAAGAATTCTTTTTACCTACTCGAGTCTGTTGAAAAACCTTACAACTAACAGTAATTCATAGAATTAGTTCCAGAACAAAATTATGTTAAGTTATCAAGATCCGGGAGAAAGTTCCCGATACTTTTACTAACCCAAGTAAAGCACTCATAATCAACTGAAACATGATATTATAACCAATTTTTGAATAAAATGAGTGATAAATAGATTAAATAAAGTCAAACTTTAGATATTTTCTTTAAAATCTGTCCAAAAACGAAGTGAAACCAGGAGAGCGACTCATTTACATAACCTGCTCGAGAGCAAACGAACCGTGAAGTAACATACTGAGGAACAGGTTGACGCTGTGGAGAAACTCTTTATTTGGCTTATGACAAATATTCATTACGTCACTTGTGAGCAGAAAACTGTCTGGTATATAGACATATATAAATAATCAATTAATTCTTAAGACCATACTTCTGGGTTCACGTTGGATGCAAGTCAAACAGGAAGACCATGGGGCGCTACATCCCAACAGTTTTGGCGCTTTTCATATTCCTTTGTTTTCTAGGAATAGCTAAAGATATGCAGAGGTGCAAAGTCTATCGAAGTTAGCAGCGTTGCTAAATTGTGTTTATAAGGAAAATTATTTTACATAGTACTAAATTTAACAACAACAACAACAACAACAGCAACATCAACAGCATTTATTTAAACACGATAAAAAAATTCAGCAAAAGCTGATGTGGTCGTGTACAAACAATAAAACTAAATTCCTAACTAAATACAATGAAACTAAATTCCTAACTAATTATAAGAAGACTAATGTAAGATTTCTACATATTTACAACAATAAAAATTCTACATAGTACAACATAATATACGTGGCTTAAAAATACACTTGAGTGACTTTTAAAAAGTGTCAACGTCTTGAATTGATCTCATTTCACTTTCCCGAGCGTTCCACCGAGTAATTGACTTGTATGAGCATGATTTCTTGACCATATCGGTCTTAGGTCTACGTAACTTAAATCTCATTTTCCTCCTGAACTACTTACATACTTTTCAAAGCGACGGTTCATAGGACATGGTAAAAGATTATAATAAGCCTGATGCGCTAAGGTTAGTAATCGTTTCTCATACATAATCTCTAACGGGTATTCCATTTTACTGTGGCAAGAACCTCCTTGTTTGGAGCAAAAAGGGAACTTCAAACTTTAGCGAGCTATTTTGCAAGATTATTTACAGTTTATCTGATTGTGCAAATCAGAAGGTCTTAAAATAGCAGATCGGTCCAACTTCAAGTATTCTGAGAATTGCTCAGTTGTAGAGGGGAAGAAATGGAATGCCGAATCTTTTATGAGCAAAAAGTATAAATGTGTAGAGTATGGACTTCTTGGTTTACAGAACAAGAAAAATATTCTGGGGTTTAAAAACATTTTCCATAATAAATTGATAAATTGCAGCTACATATCATTGAGTGTAATTGGTACGGCGAACCAACACTTAATTTCAATCACTCGCAACTTGTCTTCCAGTTTAAATGTTTGAAAACTACACCTGTGTCTCAGTTAAGGAACACTCTCTTGATATAAACAGCTGGTTAAAACCAATCGCTTTTGATCTCCGTTTATTCAGCCAACCCGTCATTAAATGCACATTTTCATGCCACATACCTCAACTTAATAAGTGATATAGATCAATGACTTCGGTTAATAAAATGAACCTTCCGGCTAAGATCTATTATTTCCCCAGAAAGATTTGCATCATGCGAAAATGCAGTTACCTCGCCCCAGTATTCAATGTTCACCTTGGCAAATAATGCTCGTTTGTTTAATTTCATCAGGTCAGGAGGCAGCAGAGGGCACTGTTGATGGAAGTGGTCCTGAAAGTAGCATACCTCCAGGTATCTCTTAAGTCAAATAAGACTTCAGTAGAGACATTTATGGGAGACCTGGGGCCGATATGATTTCTCTTTGTTTTAGGTGAAGACGGTTTCATCATAACTTTGGAAGTACTCTCCGGCATTCCTGACCCACAATGGACGATTCAACAGAATGACCCAAGGTTCAGCGAAGTACAAAATCTTTACAGAGATGCGAAAAAACACTCACCAGATGAGGCCCCAGCAAAGCTCGGATACGAGGGATTCATAGTACAGGAGGTGAGGAAGGGTCAATACCAGCCATTGGTATTGATTGTGGGTCCTAAAACAAAGCAGCTACAGCTACTCTTACTCCAGACCAGCCCTCAAGACAAGGTTTCGACGGATCTCAATCATATCGTCCAAGAAGAAATTCGGAGTGGAAATGTCAAAGCCGTAAAAAGAAATAGAGTAAAACGTTACGCGCCCCCGTATACTCCCGAAACATGGAACCGTTATCCTGACGTGCTATTAAACAACTGCTACAACTACGCAAGCACGAAAGAGACTGACACCTTTGCACAGCCCGGGAGAGCAACAAACAATTCGCTTCCGTGGCCATTTACCGGAGCTGACGCAAGGGCATCATCAGAGTCCGATGGGTGTGTTTTCGTAACAGCCGAAACAACAATGTCCGCTCCTTCTGGCGATGAACACCTTGCGGCACTATTTGTTTCCACTAGTAAGTAACTACAACAATAATGAACATTATTAAGAACCCTAATAACCGCTGCAAGATATTAAACACGAGGTTCATTTCAGTTGTAACACTTAAAAACTTGTAAACTAATGACAGCGTAAATATTTGCTCGAGGACGAACATTGGTGTTTAGTACTTTTAGACTTCTTTCGAACCAAATTATTGCAAAACCTAATGCAGGAAACCCTGATGCATGAGATTTGTTTTAAAAATATTTTGTTATTGTCATGAGTATGATCTGTTCATATTTACTTTCACAGGGGTTGTAAACGATTACCACTGGTACCGGTTGGACAATAATGGATACTGGTCTCACAAACCAGGCCAAACCCCTGCCACTAACCTTGACGGCGATGGAAATAGGATCCGTGATCCAAGAAACGCTGCCAACGGTTTAATACCCTATGAATTTGTTTGTTTCATGAAAATTAACAGGAACACTCTAAAAATCGCTTGAGTTTAAAACGTATCAGCTAAATGATATGATCAAATTACACAAGTGTAACTCAAACTTAAAACTTAAATGATTAGCCCCGAAAAGAGGTAAATAAAACGACTCTTTGAGAACACGAACTCCTTTGTCAGTTCAATGCTTTCTGTAACCGTTTATTCCTCGTCAGCATAATACTGTTTATTTGGATGTTTAAGAAAACTGGAAAAGAGTCGCTACGACTGAAAACAATTTTGATTCATTACCTGCTCGCTATGATTTTGACAAGGGATCATAAGCTCAAAAATGTTCTCGAGTTTCTCTAGTTTTTGGCAGTCTGCATCCAAGCCATATGAATACTATCAAACTTTCCTCTTGAAATTAGAACTTGCATAACTGGCTGTTCTTGCGGATATCTTTACCCCATGGTCGTACATGTTTCTACTTTTCTAATGTTCTGTCGATAAACAATTCAAACAACTAGAGAGTTTAAGCTGCTCTATCTTCTTTAGATCGGCTCAACCCAGCACTTCTTTATCACTATGACGACCATGACGTCAATGGAAGTAAGCAAAATTTGCACTTGCACTATTAACCATGTACTCCGTTCGAAACAAATTGCCGTATATGTATGGTGTAACGATCTTGAGGCAATTTAAACATAAGCTGCTTTCTTTTTTTTTAGCTACAGTCAACGTTACGACCTCACTTGCTGCAAACTCAACCTTCAATGGAAGTAAGCAAATCTTGCACGTGCACTCTTAGCTCTGTACTCCGTAAGATAAAAATTACCGTGTTACGTATGGTGTAACAATAAAGTCTGGCCAATACTGACAAACCAAGTGTATAAGAGATTGCTATTTTGAATGTATTTAAACCTAAGCTTTTCTCGTCTCGCAGACAAGAATACGGCGACCTCTTATGCCGGAAACTCAACCGTAAATGGTAGTAAGTAAATCCTCTCCACTGTCTTGACAACCAGTCCAACCTGAATTAAACGCATAACGTGACACTAAATTCTAACACTTGCAGACTATAGAAAATTTTGTTTAAAACTAAATATGCTGGGATACTAACACTGTTTTCAGTGTCTTCTTGTAGCTTTCTTCAAAGTTACGTGATGAATGAGATCAACGAACTATACGCTAAACGATAATGAAATGAATAATTGTTAATGAAATGAATAATTTCATATTGATAATGATAATGATAATTGATAATGAAATGAATAATTGATAATGAAATAATAAACGATAATGAAATGATAATTGTTTCTTAGCCTCGGTTAACAGCACCAGTGTCTTCCATAACTCTACAGTAAATGGATCAAACCTACCGATTGGTCAAAGTAAATGAAAATCCACACTAATTTTTGGGTTGAGGGATCTCAGATCTTCAAACAAATCTTCGTGTTTACATCAATGATCGACACGAATATCAAATTGTGGAACCTGAAATTTTCGCAGATTTGTAATGCTATGTAGCTTATCTATTATGCCTTATAAAGACTACGAGTCATAGTTTATGACCTCGTGAACTGTTGATATAATCAAAGAAATATAAGCTGTGGTGAAGAGTGCTTTTTTTTAGGGCAAAAAAGCGACTGTCGCCATCTACCAATTTGAAGAACCCGTTAATCTCACTATATCCTCAATAAATATAGACAACAAATAAACCTGTGAAAGACCCTTAACTGCAAATTTTTTCCTATGAATTTATCCCATTATGCTGATTGAGGACTGGAAACAGGCTGTTGATAGTAAGCAACTGTTACCAGTACTATCTACAGAGATGGGTAAGGCCTTCAGTCGATTCTCTCAGCCACTCACTGACGGTAAAGAAACTAGAGGCTTATGGATTTGTAGGAAGATCACTTAACCTTATGCGATCGTTTTTTGCGGACAGACTAAACCGAGTGAAAATGTGTGATGCTACTAGCGACTGGATAAATATGGAACGGGGATGCCCTCAAGGATCGTCTTTCGGTCCCTCACTATGGAACATCTACCAGAACGATATATCAGCTCGTGTCAAAGACGTAAATTTAACAATGTATGCTGATGACCATCAAATGTACGTCAAAGGAAGGGAACTTGAAATAGTACGATGCAGAATTTCCACGATCAACTGACTGAAATAAATTTTACCTTGTGTTGAGGTAAAATGAATGCAGAAATGGCCTATTTCATTACGGGGCATGGTAGGAAAGTCACGTGTTCGTAACGCAACGCTTCGAACTGCAACTCGCGCGAAATTGGAAACCAGCGGTTACCACCATTAGAGTTTGTGCAGTGTGTTTGGTTACTATGGAAATGAAGGTCGTGCTGGAAATAAAGTCCGTAAGGCAAAACAGGTGATCGTCCTAAAAACATTTAATATTTTATGATAGAAGGCTAAAGGTAGGTTTGAATAATTGAATTAGTTGGAAGGTGATAGTTTGCAGTTTGTTTCCTTCCATTGAATTGCGTTTTTGCTCAATGTTATCAGAGGGAAAAGATCATTCAACCAAGCGTCCTATATTGTTGTTGTATCGTATTTATGATCTCATGAAATTTGTATTGAAAAGTTTAAGATTTGTTATTTCACGGTAATTTCTGTGGGAAGAAGAATTGAAAATGGGCAGCCGATTGCCTTTTTTATCTGGCGAACGGTATTAAGGAACTCAAAATTTGACATTATGTCAGCCCAAACCAGACCAACACATGTTTCGCGTTGGTCAAATTTTCCCTGCGTGGCCTCTGATCTTGTGCTCGCGTAACATCTTTAATGCCCAAGCTTGATACTCATGTGCTCTATGCGGAACTATCAACAGCTGAAAAATTGGCTATGCGTTTTACAATCCCCTGGATCATTGTCGTTTTCGTTGATCGTAAACATTTCTTGTCATGTACACGAACAAGGTACCCAACATTGACGCTTGAGAGGACAACAAAATAATGTGTGTAAAACATTGCCGAGGTCAATTTTCTGCGTTCGTCTCTTTCAGCCTTGTGTTCATGTTACAGCTATGGGTGCCACAATCTCCAGCCGCATCGATGGCACTTCTGTCAGTGAATACGGCAAAGGAAAGTTGGAATTTACGCCTCAGAATGAAGCTTTGTTGAATGACATTGTGAAGCAGGTGGAGAGTCTTGTGAGTTCTTATCCTCGCGAGGCAGAGACCATTCTAAAAGAACCTTTTAAATGGCACAGTACCCTTAATCCTGACAACTTTGGAGAGTTGAATTTTGGATCAATGGGATTCCAAATAACGTATGTTAACTAACCTTTTGACTCCTAACAATGATTAGCCTCTTAATTCTCCTTACAATATCACCACTGGATCAAACATTAAGGTCAAGAGAATAAAAAAAATAATCAGGAATTCAAGAAGCTCTTGATGTTTAAACAAATTCTCCTTGTCAGCTCCTAAGGAAATGTATAAAGAACAGTATGGAGAATATGCATATTGTGTTAGGGTGTATAGGGTTCATCTCATTTGGTGTAAAATTTGGGACATGTTGTGATGAAATGTTAAAAATTGTGCATGATATGGGGGATATCCTAAATTGTCTGACAGATGATTACAGTTTTTGTCTGGGTCAAGAATGTCAGGGGTTCAATCAGTGGATGAGTCTGTCTGTTTTGGTACAGACCTTAAGCTCTTCAAATAGGTTACAGTAGAATGGTGCCAAGTTTTTAAGGAAAAATACAAGTGCACACTTAGAAACATTTTTTGGAAAAAGTCAATTAATTAGAACATGTTGATTGCTTTATTATAGTGGTAGTGATGTAAAATCTGAGGCTAAAACTCCAAATGGAGAGCATCTGCTGTCTATGGACAAGGTATTCAAATAATTGATATTTGCCTAAATAAATCATTTTATTTCAGTATCGCTGGGTTTGCATTGCATTGTATTGAAGCTCTGATTTCCACAGGTGACCTGTTGAAGTTAGGTAAATTGACAGTAGAAAAATATTTTTCCAAATTATTTAAATCTTTGAGTCTGAAAGAGTCAACTTTGTGTTCAAAGGCACCTGTAATCCTGGATTCTTTAAGGAGACACATACTGTGCATTGACCTTGGAAAATGTTTTTCACCGATTTTAATGGCTGCACTCTCCTTTTGACAACAACTTCTCCTTAACTGATGCACATATACCACGATTCAACTTGTCTCCTTATGTCTTGTTCCATAATTTCCCTTCACAGGGGTGACATTTACTTAGACAAAATTTTCCCATGTAATAGCGGTATCATGGCTCAACACTAACTTTTCAACTTACTAGCCAAGTGGCTAGTGGCAACTAAGATGTTAAGACAATTTCAGTTTGTTTACTACCCAAACTGGCTAGTGGAAATTAAAAACCATTGGCCAAAGCTGAATTTCTACTAGTCAGTGGCTTAATTACGCCACCATTAACGTCAAGCCCTGCAGCATATAAAGTACATTCTTGACAATAAATGACAACAAATTTTTTATTTAGGAGGGTGAAAATTTTATCCTGAAAGTGTGGACATTCGAGCAGATTGGCAGTGTCCTAAAAGCTGCAGGAGACAGGAAATGCCAAGAAGCTCAAGCTTGCCTTGAAGGTACCAATAGCATGATTTGTATATTTTCTTAACTTTGCAAAGAACACACTGAGGAACTGTCAAGGAAACTTAGCAAAAAAGGCTGGAAATGGATGAGGAACATGTCAGTCAAAGTAGCAATACTACTAGTCAATTCTACTATTTATTTATTTATTTTATTTATTTACAAGATTTGCCAACAGGCAGGGACTCCGCGACAGCTTTGCGCCAATCACTGCGGGCCCAGTAAACCACCCATCCCACCCCAGGGGAGGACATTCATCACACAGTAATCTCGTGCATGGGAAATTAATGTCTCCTACCCCTAACCCTGCAGGAGACGGGACCTCCATTTATTCGTCCCTATCCGAGAAGACTAGAATATCTAACCGTTTCTTGATATTATAGAAAGGCAGCATATTCTTCTCTATTATTTTAAGACCTTGAGTGTTGGTGAGTGTTGGTCTGGCCGGGGCTCGAACCCTTGACCTTCCGCACGACAGTCCAGTGCTCTATCCATTGAGCTAACCGGGAGGCCCTTGTTGCGGTTACTATGGTATCCACAATAAGCTATCACCGGATAGTCCACTTGACTAGAGAACAGAGATTTTTCACAATGATCAGTTTCACCACTTAAATTAAACTATACTATAAAACTTTCTTCCTTTGTACATTTTGTGTCCTGAATGCAATGCTGTTATTTTTCTTCAGAAAACCAAGATCCTATGGCAAATGTGATGGGTGCTGCCTATGCAGCTGTTAGCAGCAGTGACAGACCCTTTCTGAAGGCTCTTGCTGATCTGAGTAAAGCACGAGAGCAGTCTTCCGAAAATGTGGAAGAACAAGAGGCCAGGTTCACTCTATCACTGCTCATCAGTGAAATGGATAAACAGCTTCTGGAAGCATCTCATAAAACAATTGCCAAGTATGTTTCCTGAGCATACAGTGTATGAGTTATGCAGTGATAAATATGTCTACTCTACAGATATTTCCTGGGGGAGACGTATTGGCCTAATGTTAGTGCGCCAGACTAAGTTATGCAGTGATAAATATGTTTACTGTTCATGTATTTCCAGGGGGATATGTATTGGCCTAATGTTAGTGCACCAGACTGTGGGCCAAGAGGTCTGGGTCAATATGATATTTTCTTGGGCAAAACCCTTTTATTCTCCCAGTGCCTCTCTCCCCCCAGTATAGATGGTACTGGCAAATTGTCAGGGAAGCCTGATCAAATGCTGGGGTGGGGGGGAGGGGGGAACCTTGGTGATACTCCTAGTCGCTTCCTGCAAAGGAAAGCAACATAAACTCTGGCTGGATTAGCCACTTGGCTTGACTACAGACTTTGCCCAGACATGTATTTCCTGGCAAGTATATAGACGATTTCTAACGGGAAGCTATCCTTTCACCTTCCCTTTTTTAATATTTTTTGTGTGAGATATTCTTTTGTATATTTCTCATAACCGTGCATTTTTCTGGCAGAGAAGTGAGACTAAACCCAAGTGCTGTGCAGGTAACAATAAGCTGAAATTTTTTCCAAACGCATTGTCACTGATAATTTTGATTTTCATGCAACCTCAGAATTGAATATTTTTTCATTAGAAATATAATTTTGATTTTGTATCTGACATCCACAGGCTGAATATGAGCTTTTCAAATCCTTTGCTGGGGAGAAAGGCCAGTGCCTGGAGTATATTGAATGGACACTAGGTGAAGGCAATAATTGCTTTTTTTTTTTAACGGATAAGCAAACCGTTTAAACGTTTTTGTTACAGCGTTAAACGAATCCAAATTTTTTTAAACGGATGCAATTTTTTTTAAAGGCTGATAGTTTCGAAAGAAACTGTTTGGGGCTGCGTCGGTGGGAGTAACGAAATAATTTGGATATATCAACAAAGTTGAAATGGTAAATTGGCCACCGTACGCTCGAAACGTCAGCTTTTGTAATCATTACGGTGGCCAATTTACCATTTCAACTTTGTTGATATATCCAAATTATTTCGTTACTCCCACCGACGCAGCCCCAAACAGTTTCTTTCGAAACTATCAGCCTTTAAAAAAAATTGCATCCGTTTAAAAAAATTTGGATTCGTTTAACGCTGTAACAAAAACGTTTAAACGGTTTGCTTATCCGTTAAAAAAAAAAAGCAATTATTGCCTTCACCTAGTGTCCATTCAATATACTCCAGGCACTGGCCTTTCTCCCCAGCAAAGGATTTGAAAAGCTCATATTCAGCCTGTGGATGTCAGATACAAAATCAAAATTATATTTCTAATGAAAAAATATTCAATTCTGAGGTTGCATGAAAATAAAAATTATCAGTGACAATGCGTTTGGAAAAAATTTCAGCTTATTGTTACCTGCACAGCACTTGGGTTTAGTCTCACTTCTCTGCCAGAAAAATGCACGGTTATGAGAAATATACAAAAGAATATCTCACACAAAAAATATTAAAAAAGGGAAGATGAAACGATAGCTTCCCGTCAGAAATTGTCTATATACTTGCCAGGAAATACATGTCATGGCAAAGTCTGTAGTCAAGCCAAGTGGCTAATCCAGCCAGAGTTTATGTTG